CCTATGTGAATTATCTGGGTGAGTTTTTGGGTTAATTTCCACGGGACAAGACAAGCACCCAACCGAGATCTTCAGCCTACTTCGAAGCGCTAACTTTATTGCTAATACGTCAAGACATTATGAATATATCTGTAAATAAATTAATAAGTGATGAATACGTAGAATACGCTGTAGACTAATTTGTGGATTGACCACAATTTAAGGCACAATATTAATACTTAATAATCAACTACATACATTGCTGTTAATCGCATCTGTCGGTCTAATGAATTAAATTACTAATTAATTTTGTCATTGTCGCTTACCGCCAATTCCGTGCGTCAAGGCTAAACGGTGTCCTAGAATATACGAGTTGAAATAGAGGTTTGTATATGAATTCGCGGATCCCATCGTTGTTCGAATTGTAAAATTGCAAAGATCTATTATGATTTCAAATTGCGATAGAAAAGTAGCAAAAATGAAATGGTCTTAGTGTAATACTATGTGGAGAATTTTGACAAACCTATAGGAGTCTAGACTAAGTACAGTAAACTCGAAATCAGTTATATTAGAATAGTTATGTATAGGGTACCTCTGGTATAGCTTTAATGCTTAAATTGGGGTTTCAAATTTCTACATTCAGCCACAAATAGAAACAAAATCGCGGTGAGTATAATTTATTTTTTCTTCATCCAGGTTTATCTTAACCGAAATTTACTGTAGATTTAGGTTTCATTAGTATTTTCTTCAATCATATTGAAGTCCATAACATAATCAGTTTTTATATTTAAAATAAAATATAAATATTTTCACAAATATAATCCCGATAGTGTTATACTTTCAGGGGTGCTCCAGAAGTATGCGCACCAAGATGTCGCATAACCTGAACCCTAACCTGGTACACGACCTGAGTTCAGGTTGTGCGCCATCTTGGTGCGCATATTTCAGGAGGTCCCTTTCAAGTAATGAGTGAAAACTTTCTTAGAATATTGTTTTCTCGGTCAATACACTTAAAAACCAAAAATAAATTTTCATATCGTTAAAGTTTAGGGTTAACATCCGCCTAATGAAAATCTGTAAAAAGCAGTCAAGTTGGCGAGGCCTTATAGTCATTTATCTAATATCGTCTGTCTTTGATATACAGAAATAAATATTGATTGTGGTTTATCAAAGACCCGAATCGACTCCTAATTTATTATATACGAGACACAGGGAAAACTATTTCAGGTAATAAAACGTTGTAAGAGAGAGACAGGAAGAGTGAAAAATTACACCGATAATATGAACTGCGTGCGCTACTTCGCCTACGAGAACGCTCCGTGATGCTTTTTAGGTATTATAAACTCTTAGGATTTTCGTGAGCATCTGCTATTTTTGGAAGAGAAATTAGAAATTTACAATTCTAATTGGAGTAAATAAACTTGGGAATTGAAGTCTACTGCTTTTTATAGGATTTATACATTTAAAAGCTTCTGATGACAAAGGCATAGGTATTTCATTTCGCATAGGTAAAATTCAAATCTATTATATTTGACATCCATAAAAATATAACCAGCACTTCTGAACTTCCTTTGTTAGTGTGCGTTATTTTACGATATTACTATTTAATTTACGAGTTACGGGAATAAATGGGCGTTGTTTCGAAGCATCGCGACTTAGATTTATTCGTAAACATCACACTTTCAGTGTGATATCCAGAAGTCAAAGATTACATTTGTTCCAGAGATGATTGGCGTTTTTTAATCTAATTTATTCATGGCCTGAGCTTGGCAAATACATTTATACATGGAGTAATTTGAATAGAAATGATGACACATGTTTTTCTCTGCGCACAATTTTTATTAATTAAATTTACTTTTATTTTGAATGACGTGAAAGTTGTTTATTTGTTTTAAATGTGTATCAATTGCTAACTTATTTTCATCTCGTGTTGCGTTAGAATTGAAATTTTAGACCTATTTAATTTAATTTCTAAATTCCGAAGGTTTTTATTCGTTGGATCGTGAACCACAATTCATCTTACACTCCGTCAAAACGTAGTTGTATATGTCTAGATTTTTCACTATTTAGTAATTTAAAACTTGTTGTGGTATCTATAATATATAAAAATGTATGTATATAGAACGTAGAAAAGAAACGCTGTAATTCTAAATATTTCACTAAACTAAGTCTTCCAATATTTCTGTGTGAGTGTGTGTGTACACAATGATTGTTTATGTCGAATTATGAAGTATTCGGAAGTTTATTCTTTCTGTAGCGCCGCTATCAGTCTTTGTAAGTTTCAGCTACTTCGTAAGAAATATATATAGATTTACTATTTCAACTTTCTCAACTTGGAATAAACGTATTCAATAAAATTAATGGAAAGTAAGAGTGTCGATGATTCAGGAACAAACAAAACATAAACCTCAGTTGTATGGATTCATTGGAGTTTGATGAACTATAGATTTTTGTCTATAGAGGAATAAACGAAACACCGCCAAGATGTCGTAAATTATAATAGACTTATATCTACCAGCTACGATTGAAATTTTTGTTATTGCTTTAAAAACAAGCATACTATAAATTATTCAGGTGTGTACTAGTTAAGTATGATTTCCTAAATTCGATTACAAGAATATGATGTCTTGAATATATCAAGGCATTGGTAACCAATCGTCGCTGATTCTCAATTTGAAAATTCCATCAATTTAAAGGGGGAAGGGGATAATAAAAAGATGTTTTCATGAATGTTCTCATAGATATACTACAAAACGGTATGTTATGAAGCAATCAAATAGTAATAATGATTTATGAAAAACGTCTATATCGGCATCATGATTTGGGGAAAGCTTTACGGAAACGATTACCAAGTCTCCTTAAGGTCCAAGAATGGTTGGTTTTCATGAAAACAGATTCAGACAAATTTTAAATAATCATTGCTCTCTCTAGATCAGGGATTCTCAACCTTTTTTCTGTTAAGTACCCCCTGAGTCTTGAAATAATCAACACAAACCCCCCGTAATCACCAAACAAAGTTGTAATATATTAACTAATAATTTTTAAACTGTGTGTTTAAAGCAGTGGTTCCCAACCCCTAGTCCGAGGACCGGCACTGGAAGCTTTTTCGTCGGTCTGCGAAAAATTTTGTTGTTTTTATTTGTCTCAATCGCTTTACCGAACCCGGAATAACGACGTTGTGTTTGTTTATTACGCAATTTCGCTTTCGCCGACATATTTCTGTTTGCGGTATATCAATGGCCTGACGACGTCTTAGCGCCGAGTAATCACACTTTTCACTTTTTCGGTTCCGATTCATCGCGACTCACCCACCAAATCTGACAAGATTTAGAAAGCCAAGGATCGGCACATGTATTTTGTTTGTTCTGCATGCTTTTCCTGCTTAATATGATTTTCCAATTAAAAGATTATGAATATTTCTTTGTTCAAACCAGAAAACAGTCATGGACAGTATAATATTCCAGGGCGTCGCCATGACATCCAGTAAAATATGAGCTTGTTGCAACCCTGTAGGTTTGTTTGATGCGTTGGTTAACTGCAGAAGCGTTCATATGTGATCAGTTAACAAACAAAGTATTTCGATATTTTTTAATAAGAACGGAGAGAATAAGTTTCTTCTGAAGAAAGTTTGATCTACTTATTTCAATTTTTGGCCGGCGCATTATTTGTTTTTATTCATGTGAAATGTTTTCAAGTGCTAGACATTGCATTACATTTTGCAAATATATGTTATTATTTTTAATTCCACTCATTTCAATTTTTGCCGGGCCGCGAGCACATTATGCACATTATATTTAACTCTCTCGGTCCGCCAGAAGGGTTGGGAACCAATGTTTTAAATGATATTAAACAAAAGTATTCATTTCATTTATAACAAAACATTAGTGTGAAGGCTGCCCCTGTTTATTGCAAATAAGTTTCTCAATTCGAGGAGCAAACAACACATTGTCATTTGAGATTTCCCAGTTTGGCTGCAAATCTGTGGATTTCACATTGTTGAGTCACAACAACGCAAGATTAGGAAAGATCCACGGCACGCATTTTCCTCTGAAAGTAAAAGATATTAAAAAATAGCAGCACATGAAAGTTCAACTGTCATGCAAGTATCCCTGGAAATCTTGTCGTGAACACCTGGGGGTTCGCGAACCTCAAGTTAAGGCCCCTGCTCTAGATCTCAATTTGTCTAGCTAATATAATGACATCACTTTCGAGTTTAGAAGAAACTTTAGTTTGTAGAAACAGGAAGACGGCTTTTTGGAGGAGATGAATCGTTCAATAATAGAACTTTCTGATCAAAATATCATTGCTAAACATCAGATATAGTCGTATTTAATAGATGTGTAATTGTGTATATTAGTAATCCCATTGTCAACACGAATCAATTCACTTTTGACATTTATTGGTGAATGAACTACAATAGTGAACCGCAAAATCATCATGGTCAAACATACGGGTTTACAAAAATAGTGAATGTATTAGCAGAAATCATTTTTTTTTTCTCTTTGCTTTTGTACATGAGGACAAGGTTCGGGTCAATATCTCAGGCTATTAAACAGAATTTGGCACTTTTAGCTCAACATGTCCAATCGGACAATGGGAAAAACATATTTATTTTTTTAAACACAAGAAATCTATGAATAGATTCTAAGATATGTCCTTGTAGGTAACCGGCACTTATATCCGCATTGAACAAATTCGAATTACCCACCAATGTTATTTTGATAGTAAAGGATTCGGCTTCAAGCTCGAAACCATATTTATGATAGTAAACTATCTTTTATGGCGATTCTCTTCCAGCAAATATTCATATATATATCTTTCGTACTCCATAAAATATCGTAACAATCAAACTCTATTTTATCACTATATTGGTTTTAATGTGAAATGATGAAGATAAAAATAGATTTATCAACCACAGTGATTTACCTCTGTTTTTGAAATGGTGACCATAAAACCCGGACCCATTTTTGGCTATTTTGGCAATAATTGTATCTTTATATTTTACAGTTAAACTATTTATAAAAATCTAAAATAAATATGTATTCCAGAAACAGTTTCACATTTGCTATTTGTCTATTTGCTTTTACAATAATAAAAGCAAGATCGTATGAAATCAACAAAACAGCAGGCTGCCTAAATCTAACAAATGGAAGAAAATCAAGCGACTGTCATCAGTCAATTATTCCCGTTAACAATCTCAAATTAAAAACATTTATCAGCGAAATTGTGAATGCAAGTTTTATTCATGATGAAGAAGTAAATTCAACAACAAAATACGAAATTAATATTTGGGTAACTGTTCCTTTCGACGATTCCTACATGTTTTCAAAAAACCACGTCATGCCAGCTATTTATCAAGCACTTGAAGACACAGGAGCAGTTTTATGTCAAAATTATACAATAAACGGAGGGGAATATCCACAGGTAATATATGAAAAAGTATCGTCCCTTTCAATGCGATTTTGCAAACCATCAAAGACATAGAGTACATGGAATATATGGGATCATATTGATGATGCCTAATAGAACATCTGCTTCAGATTTGCTTTGCTTATTTAGAATACCTATGGGCGTCAGTGATATAATAACGAGTTGATGAAACCTCGGTCATGTGCACTCTCTTCGTTTCTCGCCATATTTATTGACTACCGTCAAATATGGTAAAATAAATACAACTTCATATGGCCGACATATAACGATTTTTATGGCTTTGATTGCAATTTAAAACCTGCATTGGTCATTTTTTCAATATATATTTTGATCTTTACAACGCTCAACTCAACTCAAAGAAGGGACTATTAACCAGAAATTATGTATAAATCAGCGGCTCGGCGGTGTGCCGCATCCTGCTAAGCGTTCAAAATACGCTCGCCACCGCACCTGAGATACCAGGCATGGGCTAGCGGTTCGAATCCCATTCGGGTGCAGTTATGTGTGAGAGAATTGCTGACTCCTCGCCGCCTTGGGGTGATTCACGTAACCACTGGTCGGTTACGGCTTCCTCCACCATCAAGTCCGTGATTCTGACAAAAAATAACTGGCTAACTAATTCCATACCCAACATCGAATGGTAACCGTGGTTTGTTCTATGAATAAGTCGTCTACTTTCCTCTCCCCGGGGATAAATATGTAAATCTTATTCCATCCCAGATTGTTATCGAAATTACCTGTGTTAGCAATATTCATAGTTAACAATATCTACTTTTCCATCTAGCACACATGTTTTACTGTTAGCGCAAATGATTCGAGATGTAATGCCGATTTTGCCATGACACAAGCGGTTGACATTCAAGACAGCAGAATTATTGCAGAACAATGTAATTCTGTGGATGTTCTAGCAGGAGTTGAAACTATGAACGTTTTTATAGGAATGACGTGCGATTACGCAGCGGGTAGAGTAGGCGCTCTTGCTACGAATTGGGATTGGCCTTCAATTTTTCCTGGCACAAGGTAGAATAGAACTTTCCTCATACATTTCAGCATATATACATAATGTGTTACGTTACTTTTAATCAGACTTAGATGTGGAAAACTTTTAAAATAATTTAAAATACAATAGAAAACAAGAAATGATCGAAGGAAATTGGAATTTGATTTGAAAACGCATGTTGAAAGTTTTTCATCTAGTGATCTTTTTTTCTTCTGTACATAAAAGTAGCCTACATGTTTTTATTACCATTCTAACGAACTAAAAGAAACAGACTTATATCAAATTTTGTGGATTTTACTCAAAAAACTTTTGTTCTCACAGAGAATGACCTTTACTAACATGAGATAAGCAATTGAAACTACGCGACTATTTACATCATTTATTTCTGATATTGATAGACATTGATTTCCGTTCAATTATCTTGAAATTGACTCTATTTCATTAACAAATATAAAGTGAAACTAAACTTGACTACTATGTGAACTGAGATCATGCAGTTCGCTATAGATACTCCTGTATTACAAGATTTTTTCCAAAATCGGGATTTTTTTATTCGGTACGATGTGTTCTCGATTAGTCTTAAATATTTCGAAACTTTGTTTGATGAACTTTATATCATTTATATTTTTTATTATTAATATTTGATAGGGTGGTTCCATTTTTATGGCTGTACTTTTAATCAATGATCTGTTTCGAAAAACTCATAAAATTAATTGTGACTGTATGCACAAACTGGTACGAACTTGTTCTATCTAGCTGGCACTCCCTAGCAACAATGTACATAAAATGTCTTCAACCACCATGACTAACGAATTCATACAACGAATTGTATGCAAATGTTGTGACTTTAACAAAAAATACTTTGACTTACAGAACAACAATTTTTGATAATAAAAATCAAGGATGTTGTGAAACATTGACGAGAACTGGTCATACAGCTACTGACATTGGGAAATTTGTTGTCCGTATTTACAATGAGTATAACTGGAATAACTCATATGTCATATATTCATAGTAAGCCATGTTTTAATTCATGTCGAATAGTATTATTTTCATATTGTATTCATAGTATAGTATTAATTTTGTGTATTTTTGCCATATTAAAAATAGTAGTTCTGAATTGTGTAGGATATGAAATTAGTTGCTGGAAGTATAATTTAATGTTCTCTGCTTTTATGTTATACAATGTCGTTACCTCTGCGAAATAATATATTTAAACATAACTTTGCCAATTGTAGTTGATATAGTCGATCGATCGTTGAACGGTACTATATCAGTAATGAGAGTGAGTCTTTTGATATCATGTATTTTAAAATTGAGACGGTATAAAAAATATACAAAGTTTATTCAAATATAATTTCAACTAAATATTTTACTTTTACAACAAACTATTTGACGGTGCAAGGATTTGTAACATAAATGCTTGCCTCATTGGCATTTTGGTCATAATTGGTCCGTCAATATTATTTGTCCACTTAAGCAATATAAAATGGAGTCTTCGCTGACAAAATGGAGTCAAATAGCAAGTTTGTTAAAGATTAATTCATGCGAATGTTTTGACGTTGACTAATAATATTGCAGATCACACTTGATCTGAAATGGACAAATGATTTCAGTAAAATAAAACAGTTGTTTTAATTATACTCAATCAAGTATAAGTTGATAAAATTAATACTGGAATGACTTACCGGGCAGTGCAGATAAAAAAAAATTATTTCATAAAAGTCGATAGTCATGTACAAATTGTACATGCATAATACTGACCGTAACATAAAATGTTTTTAAAATTTATTTAATTTAATCGATCGTTGCATATTAAAAATAATAAACATAACAGTAAAATAATAAAATAGAACATGCATTTTATTAAGTAAAGTTATAAAGGTAAATGAAAGAAATATATGATGCAAATGAATATTTGTATCGAGAATAAGATAGTTCTAGATGATCATCACGTATTTGATTTTTATATTCTTAATACCAAAATTATTATATATTGCAAGAATTGATGAATTTTATGACTCACTTTGCGCCTTCAATCAAGTCCTTAAGCAATAAGCTGGTGTATAGGAAACTTTTGAATGAAATTTTTCAACCCAACTTTTGATACTTCTGTGAAAAACTAAGAATCCATTTGCTTTTATGACAGTTACCTCTACTACCTAGTGGAATGTGTAGCATGTTAAAATGTATATTGGCAAATACATATTCTTTATGGCTTCAAAAAATAAAAAATAACTTTTTGCAACTTCAAAACTCGTTTTATGTTTTTTCAGTATCACTAATCACGGCGCACCAGTGGACACAACGACGCGATCCGACTGTACTACCCTTATGGGAGGAGTTACAGCGCAGTTCAGAGGACAAGAGGGTTGGCAGAATGGAAAACAGTATAACATTTCAGCGCAAAACGATGATATTGGAGTTATTAATAACGCGGATAAAATATTAGATACCATAAAAAATAATGCTCGTGGTAAGAATTTCTTTTTAATTTATTTTAATAGTGTGAAAATACAAATAAATGTTTGTAGCTACGTAGGGGCTAAATATAATTATGAACAAATATTACTTGCGTGGGATCGCGTGTCAGTCACATCTCCTCTAATAAAAATACTTGACTGGGAATAACGAAATATTAATATAAAGACAAATTGATGTCTCGGATAATCAAGTCCATATGATAATACTATTTGTACGATAACTGGCATCATATGTCACATCAAAGGTTATTACATACAACATAATTTTTATCATAAGCAATAAACAATCCGGATACGATATATTGATATTTGATACGGATATTGTTTGCTGTCCAGACTATATTTAAATGTAAACATATGGGTAAAAGCATTTTGACGCAGACGCGTAAAATACACATTGAATTATCGACGAACGGTCATTTACAAGTTGTGCAATACTAAATCACTGACTTCTGTTCTGCCATTCCCATGTTCCTAAAAAAAATACTTCCATGACATTTCCTAATCTTTATCACTTTGGTTAACAAAATTACATTTCACCAGAGAACAATTCAACTACGTCACCTTTGCATTATCAATCGATTGCGTGATCGAACTACGCGTCGCCACGTTATCTGTACGTCTCTGATGTTGTTCGTGTGTCAGAACGCATGCAAAGGTGCATTACCAAATTTACAATTGTTAAGCAGGGGTTGCAGGAATTATTTAACTACGTAAACTACTGGAAACTTTACTACAACCTCATTATACTTCCCCTGTACAAGCCCTTAGGAAATATTTACGAGCAAATTCTGAGATTAGATGGCGATAATAGAATTTGACTGGAAATAGATTACGCAACTTCGGAAAAGATGATGTCACTTGTAAATAAACAATTACACTAGTTTAATATCAAATGCCCCAAATGAGATTTCACAATAGTGAGTGGGTTTGAATTTCATTTTCGCTAGTGTCAGGCTATTTGTTTTGGATAGAAGTTTGAGTGAACAATCTGTAGAAATGAACAGAAGTGTTTCGCCAAGTGTCACCATATTTATCTGGACGTTAAATATTGCAGATGTCATCTCCACACGACAAGATTACGTCAATATTTGTCCATTTGAATTACTTTAAACTTTAACGTGATACTTCCGCGCAGTCGGTAATTCCCGGAACTGAAGGAAATGTAAACACTCCAGAACAGCCACATTGAAACACGACGACGGAACGCGGTTGCTCCGACCATCTAATGTTATTTCTTTTTTGATAGTTTTAAATTAAATTAATTACTACAAATTTTAGTTTTCGAAATGATCGGAAATTTTCGAGTACTTTAATAACAAGTTGTTTACTTCCAATTCATACGTTAAATTAAACATATAATATGAACAAAATGACGCAGTTGCGATTCTTGGTATTCAACCAAGCCCAGCAAGTCCGACGAATCCAATAAATAGTGAGAGATTCAAATTTCTCGACTCGGTTGCTACCAGGGTCGCCCGCAACTACAATTTCATACACTTTAACGCACAAAAATAGAACCAAAGTATCGTAATATATATTCTTTAACAAAGATGTTGCCTTTTTGGTGATTGTGATTGTTATTTCGTACATGTCCATAGCGAGTAGTTATTTTTTTACACGGTACAACTCTATGAGACCGAATAAAAAATGGAAGCTGAGTGATTCTGAAGTGGTAATACTATGAAGATATTGTTCGAATATTTTTAGTGGGGTATTTTTCCATAAAGTAGAAAGACGATCCGATTCTTATTCTTTCCTTCTCTGGGTCGGAGTCAAAGATTATTACCAGCGCCAAATTTATGTATAATCGAAATTTTCCGATTACTAGCCGCGAGCTGAAGTCAGATAAACTTTTTTTCGATTCACAGTTTCTTTTTTGTTCGTGTGTGAGCTATATGCTACCATCATACTGATTGTGTTTTCCAGATATAAATAAGACAATGCGAACCAAATTTCAGAAACAATTACCCTTACTTTGATTCCGTTTTGAAAACTATAAAATTGTCAAAAATGTTAATTGCCAATCCCCTGCCAACTTTCTGGTAGCATCGCGATAAAGAAGAAAAAATTATCCGTCTTGTATGTAATACCCCCCTCAATTTGTTTGCATAAAATGTTTGTTGGATTGAGGGTTGTGGATTGTTTGCATTTTAGAAAAGGAAAGTTTGCGAGCATCAAAGTGTAAACTCATTATCGTTTTGAGTTTCTGTCTGCGTTCAAGTTAATTTTTAAGCTGGCGTTGACCGCAAATGCGTCGAATATTGTCAAAAAGTTCTCGGTAAATTTATTAAAACGTTAAAATGCTGGGTATGTTTTTGCTTCTGAAGAAGGCGACTTCTTGTTGTAGAGGCATAGTATCGCACATACAACTTTTATAAATTCTTATAGCAGTACCATTAGCCGATATGTTTCATTTGAATAGGTATCTTCCCAAAAAATAACGAAATTCTGCATGCTCACACGAATGTTAGCAACCCAGTAACTACGTAGTTTGCTTGCTTTATCGAACAACAAATATTTGTTACATGACCGATCGAAGCATTCTCTCGAAACACTTGCACGAAAAACCGACATTTATCATTCTATTTTGACACTTGACCACAGTGTTAAATTGAACACTGTTTGGGGAGTTGTAAAATCTTTTTCGGATAAACAAATGACGATAAAGTATTTTAATGCGGATCATCCCAGGACATATTTGTAATATTCATGAAAAGAAATATCAAATATATATAATATTTTTCACGGGCCAAAGTATAAAAATTAAGTGTACTTCTAATATTTTATTATTTCCAGTCTCGATTTGGTGTATTGGAAGAAAAGCGATGAGGTATATAATGAATAAAGCAAAGGAAAAGGGAATGACAGGAGGGGATTATGCGTTTCTATATCTTGATATTTATAACACAAATATTTCATATGAGTGGAGCAATGAAGATGATCAAAATTGTGAATCAGTGCTGGGAAATAGTGGTGAGTTTATCGAACGTTATTAGCAATATACATTTAATATAAACAGATTAGGAAAAGACGTTTCAAGTTTTAAATGTCATATGTCATAGCCGCCGTTTTTAAACAAATGTTAGAAGAGATCAGAGATTCCAAGAACAGCCAAGACTACTTGCTAATGAAAACTTTCGTTGATATTTTGAATGCAACAGTTTCGCCCATCACAGTTACAATAAACACAAACTTTTATGTTTACATTCCAGACTATTTCTTCTATAGAAATACAAGAATTATTCTAACGCGATGCTCTGTTATTTTATTTGTAACTATAACTATATTTTGCATTCTAGATTATTGCACGAAAGACGTTGGAAATTCTAGTGATGGAATGAGAGCACTTCAAGTAATTTCACTTCGTCAATCAAAAACAGAAAAATATAAAAACTTCTCAGATTCTATGAAAAAGAAAATGGGATCCGCGATATCGGGTGACGAAGAATTCGTCAATCCGTTTCTTGCTCAATACTACGATGCAGTAAAACTTCTAGTTGATGGAGTGAACAAGTGAGCCATATGCAACTTCTTCATCTTAATCACATGTTTTGCCACTTAAATATTTCCAGAATTAGTTAATTACAAATTTATAGCTTTAAACACAAAATGTGGGTATGGTTCAATTATTCCAGGAGTATTGAAAAGGGAAATATGACTGATTTATCAGATGGGAGATCATTTACTCGGCTGCTATGGAATATAACATTTGAAAGCGTTGATGGCTTGGTAAAAATAACTGAAACAGGGGATAGAGTTATGGATTATACTCTGATGGATATGAACAATGCGACTCAGAAATTTCAGGCGAGTTTCCATTTGTTTGCTAGATTAAGTAAATCAGCGAAATCTATGAGGCGCGAAACCGCAACTGGGCGATTTTTATTTGAAGAATTGACTATTGTTTGACAAAAGCATGTAAAATCTTTACTGGTTGGGATCATCCTTTTGTAGACACAAAAACAAAAATTTTCAACTCCGGTATTCAAGAAAATATATATATATTGAATATTGTGATGCTAACAGAGTAACAGTTCACACACAAAATCACAGGCATATAATTTTTATGAGATGATATGACTACTTTTGTTGTTTTTGCAGGAAGCAGTCGTGTACTATGGAGAAAATCAAACGTATGTAGAAGTTGTACCGATAGACTGGCCTGGTAATGAGCCGCCTTTGAACATACCAGAATGCGGGTATACACCTTGCGAAGAACATCGTGTGTCTATTCGTATGTAAAAGTTATTTTATTAATCGTTTTCTTATTTTCTTTATATATATATATATATATATATAAGGTTGCTCTTTTAAACAAAAGGATCGCATAAATTCTTACAACAATCTTACGTGATCATTTTAAACCTACCCGATATTATTAAATTTACTAAACAAAAGACTATAATCAGTTTAGGAGATAAAATTAAAAGAAATTCGTTTGAAGCTACTTGTGATTTTCATCCTATTCCAGGAATTGTTAGTTTTTTTGTTCTGGTGATATAACTTCCTCTCTGTTTTATAGGACTGTATAATAAAATAGTGATCCCATGATCTATCCTATTTTACGTGGAGAAGTAATGCGTAGAAATAGTTGATTAATTTTAGCAATGTTTACATTTCAAATGAGTAAGACTTACTCCTGTTTTCAGTTGTCAAAGCTCTCATTGGAACGTTTGCTGTGCTGCTGCTTTGTTTTATCGTTACTCTTTTCATCGCGCATAGGTGAGTCATAATCTACTTTGAAATCTACGTTTATTCTACGTATTTTTGGGCGATTGTTTATACTTTATAGTTTAATATTAAATTGATAACAAGTAATGTTGATTATATCAATACTGTAATATAGACAAGTGGACATAATGCTGGGATGGTTGACGGTTTGGCCAATCAGTTATAGAAAATACTTTCAAAAAGTTAAATGATTTACATCTGGTGTCAATTGTTTTCAAACTTGTTCTGAACTTTTGCTTACTTGTATTGTATACTCGTATTTTAAATTAAATAAGTTGGCTGAAGTTCGGGATGAGAATTTTCAAAAATTACTTGATACGTCCTTCCATCCTTGAATTTCATAAAATGTGTAAATAGAGAAATTTCAATTTCCTATCAATTACATTTTTTCTGTTTGTGGGAGTTCCAAACTTGGCGAAAAATTTCATTTCTAACATAACAATTTCACCTGTTGTGTATAAAATCTACAAAAATTTACGAACAATCCCTATTTGATAATTTTGTAGACGTATTGTGAAAGAAAGAAAGTTGCGTAACATGGCGTGGAGAGTAAAACCAGAAGAAATTGATTATAACATGAGGCAAAGAAGACAATCGGTAAGCTAGCAGAAGATATGATTTTTAACAATAAATGTATATTTATCAACTATGGTCAAATTTACCCGAAGCTGGGATATCAAAAAAAAATACAGTCTATTTGGGAATGTCATTTAAACCCCCATCAAAAAAAAAAATCACCACGTATCACTGAGGGACTTGAAGCACATTTTACCAGGCTTAATTCAAGGTTTTGTGGGTTATTTCAGATCCGAGAGAAATTTGTCTAGTATTCTGTGATTAAGCCATACCCTTTTTTCAAATAAATAACACTAATATCTTTTTTTCCAAAATTTCGACGATAACCCAGGGATATTAAAACTACACTTCAAGATGTATGATACTGTATACTATGCTTAACACTTCCATCTACAGGAATCAACAATAAGTCAATCCAGCGAAGCCACTGTTACCTCACATCTTAATTTACATGGGCGACAAGTTTTTACTAAGACAGCGCGATGGAAAAATCATTTTGTTGCTGTGAAAGTGTTCCACAGACAGAAAATTCAACTTGATAGGAATATTCTAGTCGAACTGCAAACGGTAACGATTACAATTTTTCTATTAACCGCTTTACCCAGACTAAGCTTCGTAATCCTAGTATTTCACATACTACATGTCCGTCTGCTAAACGAGCAAGGTACAAACATCAACTCGAATACACTTGGAGGCATATTTATGAATACAAACGCATTTATACTACATCATAAAACCAAGTATCATCCTCTTTAGTAAAGATGAGCAATGCAATTGCTGTATCTCCTAGAGTCCTAGACTTAATTCCCATCCATATTATGTACAGATTCTCAATTATCTATCCAAAAATATTAAAAAAAAAAAACTGTCAAATTTAAAAATTCCCGCCAAATTTGTTCAATCAGACGATACGCTCCAATTAATTACCAGTTCAGGACAGCTATGCGAATAGCTATTCCTGATACATACCATGCCAATAATAATAACGTGCGGTGACCGTACATTTGAACCCATGTACATTTGAACCCATGCGTATATCCACGGGTTTAATCTATATGCGGGTGCTAAAACCCATGGGTTAGGGTTAGTATGGGTTTAACTATCCGTGAAACAAAAAAAATTCCATAGTTGCAATAGCATACAGGTGCAATTGTCATGGGTTCAAATGTACGTGGGTTCAAATGTAATGGAACCGTAACGTGCCTATATAATCATGACTATTTTTTCAATGTTTTTCTCCAATCTAAAGATGTTATCTCTGGAACACGAACATTTGTGCAAATTCATCGGAGCAAGTGTGGATTCTCCAGTCACGATTTTAACTGAATATTGTTCTCGAGGTTCGTTGCAAGATTTTCTCGAAGGCGATACTGACTGGGTGGACGTAGATGATGTTTTCAGGTATACAGCGCTTGTTATCACTAGAGTGCTTTCCAAATTACGGTAAAATTTTCCCCGGGACGAAATTCGTCTGTGTATTACAAATTTTATAATATGATTCTTTGGCTGATACCAACATAAATTTCAACCTTTTGCAGTAATCTACCCTACCGGTAGTTTTGGTGCCGGCAATATCAATGATATATATCTATTTATTATTCACGCCATAGTACCGGCATTAATCAAGGTTCGGAGTATCATATTTTTTCACAATTTAGAGTAGCCTATTTATGGTACCGATAGTTACGTGCTATTATATATATATATATATTACCGTTATGCAATTAAACATTGCAATTTGCAAGCGCCATCAGGGTATTCTTGAAATGATCTCTGAATTCAAACAAATTCCACACACGACACCTGAAGCTATATTTATAGACTTTGAAGTAATCTCGCACACTCACCCATTGCATATTTGCTGACTTTGCTAATTTAAAAGCAGAAATATGATTGGGCTCAGTAAAAGCGTTTCAGCGTTTGCCTAAAGGCTCCAAGTTGTTGGTTCCTGATTCGAGTACTGGTTAGTAAGTCGAACAGTTTATGTCTTCGTATCCTGGATGTCGCAGCGAATCTAAATATGACGATGTTTTGCAATTCTTCGCATATGACTGGATGTCTGCTAAACTTCCTCGGCGATATTTGTTGAGCCACTCCGTTGATCGATCGTTAGAATATCCAAGTGGTGGCGCAAATGTTAAGGTGAAAGAACGAGCCATACGTAGCCGAGAAAAATCTAAAATACCTCCAAACATTTTAATTTAATGGAAATTTGAGAGCATTCGATTCATTTCAAACAACAATTTAGCAAAAGGGTTCCAAAGTTCACATAAGAGTTTACAAAATACACTGGAAAATTACAACATTTCAAAGTCTGCATGCTTCAAATAGTTTTAAACGCGTTTCATTTTTAGGTAAATAGAAGTATCCAGTTTGATTTATCGACCCCACCTAATAACCGTCAAGTGGTCACAGAAACAAACAGGGGCAGCTTGTCCTACTCAAAATATAGCGTATATACTATATAGTGATAGTGACCTCAAATGACTGGCGTTGTCTTGTGGCAATGATTAACTATCCGTAGCATTTGGAACTCACGCCTCGCATTTCTTTATTTCAAACGATCTTGACTTGAGTTCGTGACAGCTAAGGAATTTGAGAATTTTTTTATAATGAACTTTGAAACTCATACTATATATATATGTGCACCCTATTGAGCGGCTTCAAATATATTGCGCAATTAATTGACATAATAAATACATCTAAATCCGCATTACGATATACATCTATCGGTGATAGCACATTTGAACCCATGTACATTTGCACCCGTAAACTACCCCCAGGACATTTGCACCCATCTACATTTGCACCCATGTACTTGCAATGGCAGTAAAAACGTAGCGACCCGCACCATGAATAAGGGTTACTTCAAACTTGTAACTCGTCTTCATATCTTCTGACTAGATTGTTACATTAGTCAAGCTTATTGTATTATAGGACTTCTTTGATAATGGATATTGCCTATGGCATGCAGCATATTCACCGGAGTACAATTCATTCACACGGTAATTTAAAGTCATCAAATTGCCTTGTCGATAGCAGATTTGTGGTAAAGATTACAGACTTTGGGCTGACGTCGTTTCGTAACAGGGAAAGAAGAGACAGCGTTGTTGGATACGATCACTGGAAAGGTATTCAGTTTTCTATAGCTGGTGATGTCTCACTCTGCGTGCCTAGAAATAGGTGGATGATAATTGCACACAGGTGTACTTATCTTAAAAGCACAAAACATTTTATTAACATTCAAATCAAAGCGTAGTATGCATGCAAGTAATATATATACATATATATATCTTAATGGGCAAACAAGCAATGCTACCAAACACTTTTAAGGGATTTAGTGGTTCTAATAACTATTTGTAATGTATAAACGTCTTCCATGCATGTCCTTCCAATACCTCTTTTTATTAATGACCTTACTTAAATCAACTGTTCCAAACAACAAGCTCACTTGGATATCCTACATCGAGCCATTTCAATTTCCAGACATGATATGGACGGCACCTGAGTTACTCAGGGATGACAATGCACCTTTGAAGGGAACGCAGAAAGGAGACGTTTACAGTTTTGCAATTATTGTGCAAGAAATATTGTACAGAAAAGGGGCATTTTATCTTGGCGAGTCAGAAGAGAATAATTGGACGCCAAGAGGTAAAACGTTTTTGAAATGGTTTAATACGTTAAGTAAGGCATAATAAACACAAAACAATTGCACTTTTTGTTCGTTTTTCCCTATTTCAGTCATATTTACTCATACTACGTTTATAAACCTTCCATTATTTAGACATTTGCGAGCGAGTTAAGCTGGTACAACTCAACAATCCATTCCGACCAACACTTGCTGACAATGATGACGTGATAATTGAAACTAAACTACGAACACTCGTCACAGAATGTTGGGGAGAAGGCCCAGAGTCAAGGCCAGGATTCTCACAAATATTGAATGCATTCAAAGCAAAGAAGTGAGTTTTTACATATATTGAAAATACATTCGTACGTGAAATTTAAATTTTATTTAACCGCACTCCCTGCTTATGGAGAACTTACTTATCATGAAAACGCTATTTAGTCGTCATTGTATTAAATATTTAATGCATTCATGAAAACCTTGAAGTATTTTGTGTAAATTTACGGCAAACATCATCACCCACTAGTGAACAAACACGTTTTGTATTACTCTCCTGCGAATACGCCGGATGATGAATGAAATAGGACGCAAATCTATTTCTTCTAAATCTATTTCTACATTACAATTAACAAACTCGGGAAAAACTGCATTACAGAATAATATTATAACATTCTGCAATTTTAATAAAATGAATTCTGAAAAATCCTTGTATATCTAATTAATAATTTTACTATATATATCCAAAATAAGTATAACATGAGCTATAAGATATCTAATGCTGTTACGACTATGACTGGTTGTCCTGTTGGATAGTAAAAGTTCTTTGCGGCACTCTTCACTTTAAAGTAACGACTTAATAAAATTTATTTATAGAAAACAAAATTTAGTCGACAGCCTTCTTGTAAGACTAGAACAATACTCAAATAATCTTGAAGAAAAAGTTGAAGAAAGAACAGACCAATATAAAGCAGAAAAAGAACGTGCAGATACATTATTATACCAAATGCTTCCAAAGAGCGTTGCAGAAAGATTAAAACGCGGACAAGTGAGTAAATTAAATTATGAAAACATCATTTACACTTGATTATAAAATTATAACAAACCTATTATACTCGTGTTCAACATATTCCTTCATGAGCTAAGCAATTTTGACAATGTGGATAAAATATATTGCCGTCAAATGCCAATGTCTTTGCGCATTTTGAAAATAGGCAAATTTAAAATATTCTCATGTCTTTATGAGACCTACTGGCATACATTTTTATCATATTATGTTTTACAGGATGTGCTGCCAGAAAAATTTGACAGCGTCACAATATATTTTAGTGATATTGTTGGATTTACTGCAATCAGTCATGAAAGTACACCGTTTCAAGTAGTTGAGATGCTGGATCATCTTTACACAATGTTCGATGAAATTGCGGATAAATTTGATGTGTACAAGGTGTTGATCTTAAATGAACTATTTACTTGCAAAAACTTGATTCGTCTATACATTTTTAGACTACTCTATCACTCATTCTCTACTGTATCACTACTACTACACTACTATAACACTCATTTGATATTTAGGTAAAAAGACACTCAATTAAATGAAAAAAAACTCACTTAAATTTCATGTTGTATGCTTTTCTTTTTGTATGAATATAAAACAATATATTCGTTTGGATATATATAATGAAATAATCGTATATTAGAATACCATAAAAGTTAATCGAATTGACGAAAACTACTAATTAAAAAGCTCATATTCTGTTGTTCTTCATTTTCCGTTCGAAAAATAGGACAGAAAAAAATATCGTAAATCCGTCTGCCATAATTTTTTAATTTGATATATATATAAGGAAAAAGCGTGATTCGTTTTCAATAACATTTTGCAACATTGCTTTGGGATCATAGGTTGAGACTATCGGAGATGCATATATGGTTGTATCTGGATTACCAGACAGAAATGGAAAAGAACATGTTCGTCAAATTGCCAGAATGTCTCTTGCATTGATCAACGGAGTGGAACATTTTGAAATACCGTGAGTTTAATACTTAAGTAAAATCGTATCAAAGTGGACAAACTGCGGAATATTCAATTTAAATTTTTTTCATTCAAAAATACTGTTCATTCAAAAATATTCGATAAATGTCGGCAAATGTCCAATCAAACATTCGAAATAAAAACTATGTAAGCCTTCAAAACATATTTTAAAAATTTATTGAAGGCACATGCCCGACAGAAAAATGAAACTTCGCGTGGGAATTCATAGTGGGTCGGTTGTAGCCGGAGTGGTCGGACAAAAAATGCCCAGATATTGTTTGTTTGGAGATACTGTTAATACTGCAGCAAGAATGGAACAGAATGGTGAAGGTGAGTAATGATTTCCTTAATCTTCTTCTTGACTTGCAAATGAAAAATCTGTCATGACACACTATACCAGCGGTAGTTGTAAAACGAGCCACATTGTTCATGTTGAATAAATTTATTGGACACGAAGTGAACATATGGATCGTTTTGTTATTATGTTGTTGTTCTTTGTCTTGTTGGTATTTTTTCATCGGTATCGAAAAATAGCCTTTTCATTACCTATTGGACCAATTGCTTTGAAATTTTCATTTGTTGAAGATTGTTTTTTTGCTAAAAGGCTATTATTTTTATGTACTTCAAAATTTCTGTGAATTCTATGGGATTCGTTTTGTGTGCAATGACGTCATTAAAAATTGTGCACCTTGTGGCGGATCCGCTTTAGTCGTGAGTGCTGCTGCATCGTTAGCCTATTTTGACGGATTGCATATACCGTACTACTACGGTTTGGCTTTTGTGTCCATATATTTGAGTATAGCTCTCTTGTTTTATACAAGTATAGCCTGTTATGCTTTTTTCGTGTGTTTCGATCTATTATTTTTGTTATATTTTCTTATTCTACAACTGAAGTATAGAATATATATTCTTCTCTTCTGTATATTCAAATACTGTTTTTCAGCACTCCGGATTCATGTTTCACCGAATACGAAGAGTCTGCTAGATGAATTTGGGAATTTCATTATTGAAAAGCGTGACACTCTGGTCCCTATGAAGGTAAACTTATTCTACTACGTTACTATTTTGCTGTATATATAAGATTTGCGCTGATTTAAATATATATATTTATATTGGTTTATGAGAGCCATGTTTTAATAATCATAGTTATTGCATTGTGTATTTCCGGTACTACATATATATACTTACCAACATATAGCTCTCCATCTAGCATACTTTTATTGTCGACAGGGCCTAGGAACTTTACAAACTTGGTGGCTCGAAGGAGAGGACGTTGAAATTGATATTGTTCAAGAATTAGAAAAATCGTATGGACATTATATAGGCGAACTGGAGACTATTTCAAACAAGAGGATTAGTGCTTCATCCGGATATAGTTCAGCACGAACCAGTATTGAAGTCGGGAGAATGAGGGTGTCAGTCACGGGAGTTGAAGATGAAGTGGATGCCCGTGTAGATTGTGTCAGCAAACCATATAAAGAGTCGAGTCTGCCTAGCGTTGTCACATTTGAATCAGAATGTGAGCGACCCAGCAAATACCCATCACCGCTTACACAATGTCGCAAAGATCGTACAACAAGAAACCGACAAGCAATAACTTTCAGCGAACATCAAAATCATCGAGAACGACGAATATCAGTTGAAGGATTTCCGCATGAATTAGCCGAGCAACTGCCTAGATTGCGACAATTGCAACATGAGAGACACAGTAGCGGTGTAAAACCCTTTAAGCCTGCTACTCCTGGAGCTGTTTTTGACATTGTGGAAGACGTTAGGCCTCAACGAAAAGTCAAGTTTGAAGACAGCGATGGTCACGAAAATAGTTTTCATTCTCCCCGCACGAAGAAGAAAAAATTCAGAAAATCAAAAATAGTAAATGTATTTCAAAACTCAGGTTACGATGACTCTTTATCTTCAAATGATGAAACGACAAGGCTCTGAAGATGAGAGTATTTGATGCCATAAATCAATAATAAAATTAAAAAAAATAGATACGATTTAAGAGTTGTAAGCAGCAATACCTTCCACGATAATTACGTTTTGGCAAGAGTACGAAATCATATATTGAACGACGGTATTTGAAATTAATCCCTGACTAACGTACGGATGCGGATTGTACATTCAAATAGCCTTGTGAACTAATATTATAAATAATATTGTTGTCCACGATGATATTATGTCGTCCAAAAAACATTCTGTCTATCCGAAAATAAATCATTTTTCCATTCTATATTTTAAAACGCAACTTGAAATGCCCTTTTATATTTGTTGCTTTTTCTTGTCTTGTGCCGCTTTTATTGCCTTTATTTTTAGAATTTTGTAAATATATAAGTTCCAGTGCTTTATTTTAATAATTTTTGAAGTGTCGGTCGGTAACCTATATGAGTTACACGTCTTAAACCCAACCATTGAGCAATATATATATATATATGATTTATCTAGCAAACTTAGGTTAGCATGAGGTATTTCTTCTAATTTTCTGGATGTTCTGGACGCTTAACAACCACGTGAAACATTGTCGAAAATTTCGCAACTGTGCAATACCGTGGCCATGTCGGCAGATAATGTTCCATTCATCAGAACGATCGGTAACATTTAACATGTTCTAACTTATTTAATAGACAAAAAGCGTGTATTTTATAGTATACGAAGCCAGTCAAAAGACTATTTATAATGGCGATCTTATTACCTCTTATTCCTGAATAATATTCGTTTAAATGATCAAGTTGTAATAGATAAAAATATTGCACTGATAATATACAACCACGAGCGATGATTAACTACAAAATATGTTATATAGTTTTTTCATTGAAGATTTTATTTATTAAAATATGGCATTCTACAGATAGAAACAAAGAATAATCTGAAACAGCTGTAACTACTATTGAACAAGGTATTCAACATGACACAAATGCACAAGACATTTCTCGTTATATTTTTAAAAATACCGCGAGATAATTCAGATATATATGTCATTTTGTAATCCTTATGACAAATTCGTCGTCACCCCTCCTGAGTAAGTAAAAATTGAAGATTTCACTCATTAGATTGAAAAAGATTTAAGCGATTCAAAATAAGAATATTAGCATAGTACTAAAAATATGTCTTGTGTAATGCAATATAGTGATAAAATGTATCATTTATACATCTGCACATGTTATGGAATTCTGGGTATATTATTCACAAGAGTGAGAGAGATATAAAAAGCGCTTCCGAATGCTATGGTCCATGTAATATATTGAATACAACATGAAATTTACCACGCCAGATGCCATACTTTAGTTGACTGATCATGTGCAACAAAATAAATAAACTATTCTCAAACTATGAAAAATTGAGTAGGCTAGTTTAGGAAGGATGAATGATTGCGATACCATCTGAAACAACAGCTAACAAAAATCAGCCGGCAGCGCGCATGCGGAGACATAGCCGTTCGCACCTTCTAAATAAGTAACCAACGTCCACTCTTTAGTTTTGCTGTCGTAAACCTCAATCGAGTCTTCCGTTTCTTGCACAGGGTCGGTAAGATTTTCTTTTGAAAATGCACCTCCAACTGCATAAAGTTTTCCGTTTGCTATACATGCCGTAAAACGGTGTCTCGGTAGTTTTAATTTTAAAAAATCGTACTCGTTGATCCATTTATTAGTTTTAATTGAAAAACAGTCGACAGTTCGTACTGCGGATCCGAAAGCACCACCAAGAAAGTAGATTTCGTTTTGCAAAGGGCACGCTGACCCGTACACCTGCCCTGTGTGATTTGGTGTTGGAAGATTCAATTCACACCACAAATTGGTCTGTGGGTCATATATTTTGACTACATGACAGGGATGCAAAAATTCACACGCTGCAAATCCAAAGGCATATATGTTTTTAACTGACGCAGTTACGCAGAACCCTCCTGGGACACCAAATCTACACCCAGGCAAATTTTCACTCCACGTATCCTGGTCGGGATCAAATCGTGACATTATGACGTTTTCTACTAAATATATATGTCCCTGAAATACAACAACTTGAGCATGACTTTCTTCCGGAGAATGGCGTAAAGAGGCTGCATCTACAAAACCCTTTTCTTTTGAAAACTTCAAAAGTTTGTTTTCGCTTGCCAAATACATATTTCCGTTCAGATTACAAATCCGCATAAATGTGGTCGACCTCGTTTCCACCAAGAAACTCCAAGCATCGACTGTGGGGTCATAACAGCTTATTTTTCCATTTTGTCTGTTCAGCACAGCAATGCATTCATTTCGAGTAGACAAATTGGAGCTAGCTCTCTTTTTATAGCAAATAACCGACTCTTCGCCCTGATGCTGTGATTTAGAAGATGACACACCCATGGTGTCTTATATCACAACATAAACTATTAGCATAAATTAGGTATTCTGAATGTCAATCGATCAGGATTAAGCTAGTTGTCAAAATTTAATACAAACAAAACAAAATCTTGTCAACCTACAAACATTAACATATATTCATTTAACGGTAACAAATTGGAAGCACGTATAAATATAACTTTACGCACGAAATCAATTTTAGCCGATTCATAACATGAGAAATTAAGTTAAAATATTCAGACACTCTAATTTATGTAACGCAATGTAACGTAATGCAAAGCCTATTGAATCCTAGACTTCTTAATTTAAACTACATAGCAACACACCTTTGTCTCTTTGTTTGCACATATTGCATGAATACTGTCAACTTCATACGTAAATATTTGAGTCGGGTTATATATCATTGTCCTTTTCAATTTGCACAGATATAAACTTTGGTAATGCATTAAATTGAACAATACTCATCCCACGCAGTGTTTAGATAAGATGACAACAACCAGGCATCAATTTGTGAATCTCGCACAAAATCACGATTCTGATTTGGAAAAAACGGTATTCCCTATCTATTGCATTCTTAGTATTATTCCTCACAACAATACAAAAAAAAAAATATATACAATAAAAAGTAAAGGCGAAATTGGATGACGGGCACAACTATTTCCCAGTCTTGAATCAAAATTTTGAGTGGAAATTTCCTAGAACCACAATCAATTGGCGATATATTGGATTACCGGGATCATATCACTATTACCAATGATTACCTACGTATATTTCTCACTAGAAACACTAGCGAATTCTATTTAAATACAAATTTGTCGCAACTCACCTCACGTGGCCCATACTAGAACAATGAATCAAACAGAACGGTTATGAGTGGGCGCATGACGTAAACAATTTGAATTAGACGCCTTTATAAGAACCATCAGACAGCACTTGGGCATCACTTATTGGTGTTTCCCTTCCGTATTACCGAAATCATTCACATGGTCTGTTGTATGCTATGTAGTTTTTCCTTTAGCATCAGCATAAACCGTTAGTTTATATGGCATGGAAACATACAGAGATTACAAACAGTACGAATAATAACTCTGTGAACAAATCTATGAACAAATAATTCGAAGCCTTCAAATTTGGTATCAAACACTACTTTTCCTTATTGATATTCAGTTAAGATTGTTGTAACGATGCATTAAGAGTCCGTCAACCGCATCCAAATACAGAGCAGGGTGAAAATGAAATGGGGATTGCGTTGGGTGATAGACCAATTGTCACCTCTCCCGCGAAAATGAGTCTAGTCATATTCTACGATTGTTTTAACTATTATATATGCATGGAATATAGATTCATACTGAGGTATTAGGCTAAAAGTTCCTTCGTGCCGAGATATTATAAAAATAACTAGGGTTTGCTATTCTTACTTTTACCATATGTAGTGCCAAAATAACTCACAAACTAAAAATAAAACATAATGCAATTGTGCAAATAGTGGTTGTGGTTAGGCATATGTTTCTGTCGTTACCTCCACCTAACATAACAACGGGTCTTGACAGTTTAGTTCAGACAGCACCGGATGTATTCATAAATTTAATATCCCCCTATTTGGATTTTAGGCTTTGTTTTGGGGGAAAGTCATGACAAATATCATGGACTATTTGTTTTGTCTATTACAAATTTCTAATTTAGGAAAGAGAGAAACAAAAAAGATTTGTAAGCAATGTTGTAATGTTGGAAATCCATCCACTCTATGACTCGCTCGAATCAGATCACGTATTGTCCCTCTCGTTTGTTTTCAACCACGTTCTTGAGTGATCGTATTCCAATTTAGAATATAGTAGAATGGAATATCTCATATATTTAATAGAGTTCAAAATTCTTTGTCGTCCAATGATTTTTATATAGCATTCTGAGTGAGGAAAATTCTCATTCTCATTCTCTCACATTCTAAATAAATTCCCCGCTTTCTAAGCTACATTTAAATATTTCACTATATAGTAGTTATAAAGAAGACTAAAAATGGTTTACTTGCACGAGTGGTATTAGCATGTTCAGAGCTAACTAAAATAACCATTTCCAGCAATTAAATATTATTCGCTACGAGAATTGAATATGTAAATTAATATATCAACAATGCCCGCGCTTATTAATATAAATGCACGATTACTCATATTACGATTGCGTGTATATTGGAACATATTTGCATATTCCAAAGCAAAGCAATTTATATATGTATGCATTCGATGAAATACTTGAAACCAATACCAGTGTGGGTTGAGAAGGAGGAGCAGCGTTTAAAGTGAGGATAAACGAACATCATGAATCAACTGCAAGCCTATGAGTTTAAACGCCATGAAAAAATGGTGCGCGGATTTTTTAAGACCGGGGTAAGTAAAACCGAAATTCAAATATTAAATATGTAGATACAATGTTTTTTATTTCCTTTTAAAATATAAAGCAGATACAAATGATTAAATGCAAAATTCTGTAGGTAAAAATTTATACATAGAACAAATATGTCAAAGTTATTTAGTTTCACCATAATTCCACCGACAGTCAGTGATGGGTACTAAATAACCACTTAATTTGAAATCAATTCTCCGTGGGTTGTGGGAGGTTTGAACTCATTAAAATTAAGTACATTGATTGCATTTATCACTTCAATTAGAGGACAATCACAGCATGTTGAGATAGTAGTCGTAGACTCGTAATCTTAGTTTTTCTACTCGATATGTAGTTAACGCTTTCAATTCGATGTGTCTGAGTGTCATGTTTTGAGCAAACCTACTAAAATTAAACATCGAGTAGTAAAAAATGAGATTCTCTTTACAGGTTGCGCAAGTTGTCTTCGGAATTCTAGCCGTTGTTCTGGGTGTCATTTCATTATCAATTCGTCATATACATGATACCGAGGGATTCTTGATTATGTCTTCACATATGAATGTTTGGAGTAACATTGTGGTAAGCTTGTGTGACCAGGTTGTTTATAGAAATAACTTGACACATAGGCATACAATAGTTTTTATTCTCCACACTTTTTCCTTTCAGAAACTTTGACTTATATGATAATTCATAAGTTTTAGCAGCAGTTTGACCAATAGCAAAGTAGTAGCCAGATAGTAATAGCATATCAGTAAACATAACTATATAAATATCCCATTTAGTTTTGCATCACTGGCGGAATAGGAATTGCAACTAGAGAAAATCCTTCTTCTACTTTGGTGAGTTTGTTATCGAAAATTATAGCCATTCAATTTTCTGAACATAAAGAAGGCCAACTCTAATTTGAAAAATACACTCTTGTTACTTGTTTACGGTACATTGATTGTCGAACTCTCGAAATGGAAATAGATTTGATAAAATATGTGACGGCGATTGTCCAAAAGTGACAAAGGTTGAACACGAGCGAATTTGAATACTGTTCTACCATATGGCAATAAAAGAATCTCATGTAATAGTTTAAAGAGACAGAGTAGCATACCATAAAACATATCAACGAAATCCAATTAAACCATAGGAAGTAACGTCAATTTAATGCATTTCAGGCAAGTGCGTATTTTCGTCTGGGATTGTTTTCTATTTTGCTATCGTTTGCTCTTCTTATGATGAATATATTTGGACTTGTGTCGGCGCATGCAATATCTCCGATTGTTGCTGAGGGCGACAATTCTTTGAAAGTAAGCATCACAGTTTTATATGAAAAATGGATGAATTTTTTTTGTTCTTGTAACAAACTTAAACCATAAGGCATAATGAGGTAAATAACAAAATTAACCAGAGGCAGAAATCACTCAAAGAATCTTAGCGAAAATACTTGTTTACATTGATAATTATTTTCAACACGATCGAACGAACTATCATGTATGTCTAAAAATCTTAAGAAGTCAATAGTATAATAGTATATACTATATATAGGATAATAGGTTCACCGATGTAGCACATTGTAAAATTATGATATCCTATTTTTAATCGGCTGTATTATTGCTAGTTGAACAAAATTTTAGATACCTGCTTTATGTTAACTAAAGGTATCTATCTTATAGTAATATACAGTATCGTTCTTTTGTGAAAAGAAATCTTGGCCACAGATTATGATTGTGCGATTGACTATTATTCGAGCTCTTCCATTCATTTTCAGCTCCTCTTAGTTATTTCCAAATACATTTTATTTTATTTTTGTAACTGAATGAAAAGTACTTTAAATCCTAGGTATCTGAATTATTTTTGCCTCTTTGCTTCAGATAACAATGATGGCAATTCACTCAACTCTCACAGCTATTGGTATATTGCAAATGAACCTTTTCTTAGTTTCCATTGCATACAAATGTTGCAGACCGCTGAATGTAAGTTGATTTAAATCATTGTTTTGCCGCGAATTCTCGCAAATGTGTATGAGAGTGAGTGTAAGACAAAAATTTTCATATATTTGTGACGCTATTGGCATGTTTTTTTGGGTAGTGAATAAAGAAAGAAAAACAAAACGTTTACATGCTCAAATTCAAATTTATATTCTAAAGAAATATATATAGACCTATTTATATTAAATTCGTTCTTACATTTCAGGACGCGAATGAGCAACTGAAATGTGAGCAAGCTCGCAGGCGACAGACATGATTGAGAGTCAATCTTCATGTTATACTTGTTTTAAACTCAGACTAGAGTACTGATGTTGTTATGCAAGAATGGCATTCAGTACAATTTTTGGAATTATGTTTGAAGTAGTGGTTGGTTCTTAAACATTTGAATATCAACATCCATAAAACGCCTTGTGAATTTCGATTACCTTATTATACTGATGAAATCACACGATGTAGTATTTCAATTTGAGAAAGAAGAACGCTTTAACAGAATAATAACGTCATAAATCATCTCAGTGAAAGAGATGGGTCTGTTCTGGTGATATCAAGCAATTGAATCTTAACACAAGATAGTACTGGCAACATCTCATGGTTTTTGTTGTCAATCAGCTTATTTTGATATTTTGCTTCTTTAGTCTTTGCTGGATGTGGGTTTTCAATAAAATATGAAATATCGGTTGTGAAACAACAAGAAAATTGTTTGTAGTCTCGTTACCTTATAACCCAATAGTTTTAGATCATACCATATCATGAGGAAATGGGATATAGTAATACGACTTACTAAACATTTGTCGAGTCTTCCATTGGGCCATATTTACGTATTTAATACCTCGCAAAACAGCAGACTATAAACTAAGATGTCGACAAACTATTGAAATTGATCGTAAAATCAAAACGTGAAAATGGTCTTTAAGACAAAGATCTATCATCTTAGAGCTGTAATCCCGGGTTCCATTAACTCTGCACCCACGTACATTTGCACCCTGGGATATTTGCACCCACGGACCTCTGCTTTATTTACAGGTATTTGTACCCGCGGACACTTACACCCACGTACATTTGCACCGGTGTACATTTTCATTCACGGACATTTGCTCTAATAAAAATTTATTTAGCTGCTATTTTTTCAGTTAAAAAATAAGTAAAACAGATATAATTACAGAATATACTAAGCAAGCGTGGTCACTTGGTGTGTGCATGCATTTATTTTGTCGTTTTTTTTATATTTGATTGAACACTCTCGTGAAGCAGAAATAATTATAAATATAAATGCTCTTTTTTTCTACTTAAAAACGCTCGATTTTGCCGCTATACCTGATCTTGGTCCCATGGCAGTCATTTGCCTTTTAGTTGACGAAAACTTCCCCATGTACTCGTTCACTCTATGTCGCAGGTGAGAGATGTCATATTTCTGTCTCTGAATTCTTTGCTCAAAATCATATTTTTCTTCTTCGAGTTTATAGAGCCAATTCCACAGTTCTCGAGCCTTTTCTTGTGTTTTTTCTGTGCTGAGATGATCGATATTGAGGGGTTTTCTTCGATCGGCAAGAAATTTCTTCTTTTTTTCACGTTCGGTTTGTCTTTTGTTAGGCTTGTTCTTTTCAGCTCTGGCAAGGTAACCTCCATAGTGTAATGACATGCCAATTGCAGCCTTTTTACGCACTTCATCTTCCTGCCTCTTTTGGTCTTCTTCCTCTTCTCTTTTCTTTCTTTCCTCTTTTTCGCGAGTCTGTCGTTCTTTTTCAATTTCCATCCTTATTTTCATCTGTTCCTCTCTTTCCGCTTTTCTTTTTTCAATCCTAATTCTGAGTAGTTCGAGATCTTCTTCTTCTTTTTTTCTTGCTTCAAAATGCGAGTTGATCAATGTTTGTAATTCTGTCATATCTTTATCCATTCGCTTTTTATAAATACTTTCCAACTGAAGTGATTGTTCGCCAGGATGAATTTCTGGAGGGACAAGTATTGGTGTGACGACCTTGTTTTCAGTTTTTTCGACATTGTTTTCTTTATCAGTCCTATACCCACTGTTTTGATCATTTGTGCTTTTATTAGAAGGTTCAGTTGAAACGTCACCATTGCGAGGATTCTCCTCATCTTCATGTCCATTGTGTTTTTTGCTATTATTCTCTTCTTTTTCTTCCTCAGTTCCAGAATCCTCATTTTTTTCGTCCTCAGTTCCAGATTCCTCATTTTTTTCGTTTTCAGTTCCAGATTCCTCGGACTCATCTTCCGTCGAATATTCTTCTTCGCTTTCAGACATTATAACTTGTCTTTTAACAGTGTTGGAATCTAGGAATCTATTGCAACCTACGCGAACTTGTGTTGATATAAGGACATTGGCATGGGTATAACTGACATATATACTTCAAAATTCTTATATTCTGACGTCAACATTCCCGTGTCGCGACAGACAATCTGGATTCTATCACTCGACGTCCTTATCGTAACATTCAAAGCTTATTTTGAACGATGGTAATCTGGTACTAAATTAAAAATATCCGTATGAAGTAACTGATTTAGCAAGGTAATCGGTGTAAATTTCATAATTTCAGTTCAATTGTGTATTCACCACTACTGGGGCGAGAAATAAGCAAAGTAAATAAGTGAAATATATACCAAAAAATAAAAGTTAAAAAAAAAGCAATTTTTTTAACTTAATCTGAAATGATAATTCGAGAAAAAAAATATTTATAAACAAGCGACGAATCAAATTGAATTGATTTGTACGTACTAGAACGATGCCCAGTAATGTTAGGAACGGAGATAACGAATAGAAGCAGGATTGTAAGTAAAAGAGCCGATACTATTGTGTTCTTTGAACCTTATCGACGTACAAAATCAAACATATATTATGACAAAGCAAAATAATATTTCATTAAAATTTGTTAAACCAACCGTTTAAATTCCGGAACACTTCTTTAAAATTTAAAAATAGATTATGACTGACTTATTCAAAATTGAATCTTGAGGCCATGGACTTCGTAATGTCGTTTTCAGCCTACCCTGCCTATTAGCAAATCCGGCCCTGACGACCTTCAATACATTTGAGAATAAACTGAAGATGGTCACTGTTACTATTTAGATTAGAAAACAAATAGGCGAACCTTTATCTGGTTTCAAATACATTCAATTGGAAGATAATAGAATGGTACCAGATAATGTTTTTTTCCCGGAATCGTACAATTGGATGGATAAAATGCATAAAGACATTCATACAATGTGCTGTAATAGTGTTCACTCTTATCTAATTAGGTTCACAAATCATTATTAAGTTACGTTCTTGGAAGTATAAATGAACAATATCTTAAAAAATGTTAATGATTCATCAATAATATGTTGTATTAAACATTCAGACATTAAAATTTTTCTCGTAAACGTGCAGTTTATTTTAGCTTACGACTAAAATCTAAGTTTGCTAATGACGACAGCGCAGCACTTTAATATCTGATCCAAGGACGACCAATCCTTTGTTTTAAAGTTTATTGACGAACCCGCCCTGCGTCATCGGATATTGTTTGATTAATGTTAATAAAGGTAAATTTACACAACCCAAGTTAAACGACCGTGGTGCAATTATACGGTTTAAGACACGTTCAAAACGTCGACTATGCCCAACAATATCTTGTTCATAATGCCCATAAATGTGAATATGCGATCCGAAACAGCGTTGTGGTTTGTGTTGCTAGATTTGGCTGGACCAAAAAGCATACAAGGCCATAAATTTCACGTTGTGGATACCCACGCTGTTTAGGAGTTTATAAAAGTTCATATTTTCATCTCGCCCGTCAAACAATTACGATAGTAACGTGAAATAGTATAGATGTCAATAAGTTATAGTTATTTAGAATAGGCATGGAGCAGAAAGCTTAGTGCCATACGAATGTTGTGGAGATTGTGATGATAGGTTTTCAAAGCACGCAAAACAAATAGTGTATGGTCTGGTCAGTAGAATTATCAAGATCTTTATTGTCTGTTATTATAAATCGCATGGCTAGTAATTCGTCGTTTGTGTTCATTGAGTCTAATTCTGTATTTTTTTTTCTAGTTGCTTTAATGTAATCGTGGTAATGGTCAATATCATTCTGCCAATGGTGGCTTATGTTATTAACTGAATGGTAAATTAAACAAAACGAACAAATGGAGATTAATTTTTCCAATAACATCGAAAAAGACGACAAAGAAACTGAATCGAAAAGGAGTAGTGAAAGCGAAATAACGGAAGAAGATGCAAACACAACTATTGTGTATATTGTACCAGTTGTGGATACGCAGCAATCTGGTTTTGTTTTGAGCGAAAAGGATCGTCACATTTTCAGAAATTTAGCTGTAAGTAGCCTATTTGTCTTTTTTCTAAACTATTGTTTTGAAGGTATACTCCTTGAAATAGGAGCTTTGTTTTCAAATTTACATTTTGATAATAATATTATATTTGGCAACCTCATTGCAATATGAATTCACCCGAAAGAATGTTCCAAATATTGTGTCAAGTATGACTATTTACAGGTATATGAAATCCTGACGACGCCGGGTTTGACCTTTATTAGGTTATACTGAAGTTCCACCTTATTCTTGATTGTATAGCAAATTTAACGAAATTGAGTGAGAAACTTCTTCCTAGTATTTCAATTACTTGATTAGAGTTGTGTGGTAAAATGTATGTCAAAATATTTTTCAGCTATAGACAATTTTCATGAAAAAAAATATTTCGATGTTGCTTGAAAATCTGCAGAAAATAATATACATAAATATATATAATTAAAGCTAAAGTTCTTTAGCCATAGCCAGAGAGCAATATATTGGCATTTTTGAATAATACGTTTGACGAACCTCAGTAACCCTAATTACCGAAACACACCTTGTTTACCAATGTATTATTCCGAGAAAAACAAACAATAAAGTAACGTATGACTTGAGTGGATGAACATACTGGTTCAAAAAATGTATGACATAAGCCCTGGAGTTTAGCATTTATTTTTCTACAAAAACTTTTTTCCGACTATTTCAGTTCAGATCAGCATTTTGACTCCAGCCCCGACCACGTAGCCAAACTTCATCGCAAATAAACCTGGTCTTTACCGTTCATTTTGGGATCGTCAGAATACTTGACGACTCCACGCAATATGCTTTAGGTCGAATAACACCAAATTTATGTTTTTTGTTCAAAACAAGTAGGATTCTCTTTAAGCATGGAAAGCAAGTGCTTAGAAAAATATCTCCGGGTCTTTTGCAAGCAAAGGTTTTTAACTTGAATAAATATTTAAATTTAATTAACAGAAAAAGTGGACATATCTTTCTTATCCTTCCACACTCAATTTAGACGGTACCTGTGAACTGGGCGTTAACCTTTCTTTTCCTTTCTTCTTTAGATAATTCAAATCATGCTGGGCAGCGCGTGCATTGGATGTGGAATAGCGGCTTTAGTTTTGTGCGACGATTCTCTGACGTGCGGAGAAAATTATTGCTATGTAACAGATGAAGGAAGGTGGACAAATGTTGCAGCCACTATATGGGGTGGAGTTTTGGTGAGTGGCAATTAAAAAAGTTGATTATTATTAAGATTAAATTGCCTATTGAGCCTTCGGTTTGTTGTTTCCCAATATTTTTAAGTTCGTGCTAAAGTCATGGCATATTACCTCCGCTCTTCAATCGAGAGTGAACTCTGGAATTTTAAAAGTAACAAATTGGATGAGGGCCAACAAACTAACTATAAACATCGCCAAGTCCAAAACTATGCTTATTTCACCGCACAAAAATAAAACTCTATTCAATTCGAATTGACAACACTATATTAGAAAATGTCAGTTTCTTCAAATATCTGGGCATTTATTTAGATAGTCAATTGAAATGGGATACGCATATAACGAACTTGGCTGCTAAGCTATCTAAGTCGGTTGGGATACTTTGCAAACTTCGGCATTTTATACCGTTAACAACTTTACGCATGGTTTATCACTCGCTTTTTCAGACCCACATTCAATATGGCATTATTGCATGGGGTACAGCCGATAAAACACTATTACACCGAATCGAGATCATGCAAAATAGAGCCATCCGTGCCGTTTCTGGTAGTGGACGTCATGATCAACTTAACCCAAACTACTTTAAACTTCAAATTATTGAATTGGCAGATATTCATAAAATAGAGGTTCTGAAACGAATGCACCAACATCATAACAACGATCTTCCTGTCACATTTTATGACTACTTTTCTAAGCAAAGCAGTATTCATTCACACAGAACTCGTTCTTCTGCCTGTGGCTCCTACTATGTGAATCGTTTTTCCACAAAACGTACCCAAAATTCAATAAAATATGTAGGTATTAAGTTATGGAATTCGTTATCTGAAAGTATTCGGATCAAGAATTATAATGCATTCAAACAAGCATTTAAAAAGGTTTACCTTGATGGCTATTCCTCTGTTTCTTTAAGTGGATGAATTTGTCTGTCAGCGTACCGTACCGGTACTGTATATTTAGATATACCTCCCTGTGTCGTTCATCAATGGAATGTTTCGTATAATTTTCTTGTAAAATTGAACTATTGCTATATTGTTGATCATCTCACGTTACTATATATAACTTATCGTGTGAAATAATAAAATAGTTGCTTCTTTTTAATCTGTATTTAACCCACCCAGTCATAAACTGCAGCTCGAGTTTGCTATTGACAACGAGTCGCATTCTTTTTATGCTTATTCTTATTAATAAGCATTTTTTGTCATGGTTCGTGAACGCACAGTAAACTCACGAGGGGAGCTGCTGCGTCATTTCTTACTCTGGTGAATTTTTTTTTTGTGATTTTCATTTCGTGATACTTTTGAATTATTAAATTTTGGTCCTTTCCCTCTGAATTAATCAGCCAACAAGTGTCGCTGACTCGATGACTGTTACAGTCCTTCGCGACCCCTTATCTCTGACGTTATTTCCTATGTGTTTATTTCAATTTACATATAATTCCGTTATACACTTTTGTGTTGTGTCTTCATTGATTCTTGCATGATAAAAATAAATTATCTGAATCTGTTTGGGAGCTCCAGAAGTATTTGTACCAATATGTATAACTAATTTTGTTCGCCCATTTTACAGGAAGTTGTGTAAAGGGACCGAAGCCTATGGGCAAGGGGATATTAACTTGGCTAACACAGACAGTACACGAACTCCTAATAGAGCTACAATAAGAAAAATCGAAATGAAATTATGGCCTAACCTTAACCTGGTGCATATACTTCGGGAGTACCCGTGTTTGTGTTTTGTCAAACGAGTTATTTATAGAAAATAATTTCATTAAGTGAATAAACTAGTCTGACAAAAGAGATTGTAAGTTATTGATAAAAAATCGTATATGAACGGATGTGCGATGGAAGCTTATTCTGCACTATAGATGATGTTGAAATATCGATCGCCGATCCCCTCAGCTTGGTAGATAAAAAAAAGAGCAATTAGAAAAATTGGAATGGTCTAAGAAAGCATAATAGATGTTATATCATTACTATTCATTTTCTCATCACATCAAAAATTATCCATCATTTAATTATTTCATTGCGAGAATAACCACTTTCCAACGTTACGTAACAGGTGATTGGTTGCGCTATATTCAGCCTTTGTCAAGATGATGCCAATGCAAGCTGCATGGTATGTCAAAATATTTACTATATATATATATATTATATGGTGACCGTACATTTGAACCCATGTACATTTGAACCCATGCGTATATCCACGGGTTCAATCTAAATGCGGGTGCTAAAACCCATGGGTTAGGGCTAGTATGGGTTTAACTATCCGTGAAACAAAAAAAATTCCATAGGTGCAATAGCATACAGGTGCAATTGTCATGGGTTCAAATGTACGTGGGTTCAAATGTAATGGAACCATATTATATAGTAATTTGCTGTCATAAACTCATCAACCGTATTCCTCCTGTTCACAGTTTGTTTATTTATTTTTCCAGTTTCATATCTTGTATTTGTTTAAAAATGAGCAATCATTCTGGTGTTTACGTTACCGGATACACATAGAAATAGTAGAAATCGTGACATTCGGTCATCAATCAATTTATTGTTCAACCCTAACGTGTCATATCAACTTACTATGGTGTAATTTGCATAGGCTGTGCCTAACTATAAAACTTTTGCCAAACTCAGAATCTGCATACATTTCAGTAGCTGCTTCAGTGGCTATAAAACTGAAAGCTCGATATTTACTGTGGGCCTACTATATACAATAAAATATAGTCATAGATTTTACTTTTTATTTCAGGTGATGACAAAATTTGTATTGAAATTCGTTGCTGGCATGACAACAGGAACAATAGTTGGACTGGAAATTGTTGCCGACATATATTCATGGGTATGTAGTAGGCCTATGTATTATTAGGAGATATGCGGCCAGTAGTCTTCGTACAAATTTCCAAAGCTGAGATATGTTATCAGTTCCCAGCATCTTTAAAATTTGCCCAGAGTGTAAAAATGATTGCCCAACTTTAGGTCACGTGAATCTTCAAACTAAACTGTTGTTGTTGGTGTTGTTAGTCTTGTTGCTAAGACACTTTTTATTGGGAAAGAGTCGCTGTTCTGTTCAGCTAAGGAAGAAAAGCATATTCCAGCGACTTTTCAACAGCAAGTACTGAAAACAATACAATATTTATTGTAATCTGCTTATCTGAGGAAGTCTGATTTTGGTCAGACGAAACGTTACAGAGATACATTTGTGTCAGTGTGTAGCAGGACTTTTGAATTGCATAGTATGGTATTTTTATTCCAGCTACAGCATCCTTGCATTATACGCATGTGGATCCACTAGCGCAAAGGCATTGGGGAAGGATTGGGAGGTAGTCTCGTGCAACCTATGCTGACATTCATTTTTAATTTGGGGTCTTCTTAGTAAGAAATGCATTATTGCATCATAAGTGGTCAGCCAGAACAGTTCAATTCATCTATCGATATAATAAAGTAAACGCACTAACGTTTGTTACGTGTAACTGTAAAATTTTGATAGACATTAGAGTCGATGTTGCGACTCCGAGCAGGTTTGAGTTGTAAGAAAACGATGCCAAATGGCTCTTTTAATGCTAAAGGCTGTCGACCCGTGGTGTAGGAAGTTCTCGGATGAGTACATCTCGCCACTAGTAGGCTACATTATTCCGGCGATAGTGTTGCAAACATCGTCGTCCGTTCGGATTATCTATAGTGAACACGCTAATATGTATCGTTCACCCAACTATAAGCACGACGGTTACCCTGGCAGAAAAATACCAAAAGGAATCCGCGGACCAGGGGTTGGGAACTACTAATTTAGACACACATAAAACGCGGTAATTACCGAGAGATTGGATGAATATACCTTCTTTATTAAAATTATCAATATTGGGAATTATGAAACTTATTAATATTTCAGTTGATATATCTATTTGGTGCAAAGGAAAAGTGTCTCTTAAGATATGTGAATCTTCTAGAGCATCTGTTGTTTAGGTTCTCCAATCTGCCAAACAATTACGTATTTAACACTATTGGATTTATCAAATATACATATGAACACTATTAATATTGCCATTCGCATCGGGTTTAAGTCCGTATGGTGTTGCATCTTTTGGAAAAGGTATTCCTTTATTTAGTACTACGATATAACGTTTGACGGTTTTGTGTATTTGTAGTATTGCCTATAAAAGTTGATATCGTTTCAATCAGTTTCAAAATGGAGAGACAAAATATAAGCAATATTTTCCTGATCAATGCGTCTGAAAACATCATGTCGGAAATGTCTGTCACAAAAACTAACAATATTCAACATGATGAATCAAATATTTGGATTTTATTTGGTAGTCTATTACTTGACATGATAACATTTATGTTGTGTTCTTACTTTCTTTTCGTGATCGCGCGATTCTACAAAAGAAATAATGAACGACACCGCTTGGAAGCAATGAACGACATCAGTTTAACAGATTGGAATAAGCGAGCAAGAATTTCCATTCTCATTGCGGTTGCTTTTTTACTAGGCATGATTTTTATAAGTTCGATTCAAACTCTGTTGGAATATTTCCGGTGGGAAAACTGCAAGATTCTTAAATACCTTTACGGTATTTTTGTACTTTTCACCAATTTGGCGGCCGTGGGTTCCATGTGGTGTACCCAACGAACTATATATATATAGCAATCCGTTCATCAGGCAGCTAACAAATGGAGTAATGAGGTTTCTGAGCAAGACCAGCGGAGTTTTTATCTTATTGTGCCAAGTTTCTCTCATTGGATTAGTTAGAAACATATCCAGCCAATGCGCAAGTAGCCGACAATCTGCTTCTGTAGAAATCTCCCTCATTTTTTTGACTGCACGTCTTATAGAAAATTTCTGGCTTTGTTTGCCCATCCTCTCATAAAGCACGGGAAAGATGAAAAAAACTGAAAGAGAAAGTTACGGTGCTAGAGCTCATACCATATCTTTAATGAAACGTTCCCTTCGGGTATCTGTATCCTTTCTTGTGGTAACAATATCATCTGCAATCATAATAATTTCCCTGAAATCGGTGAAATATGATTTTTCCCCAGTTCATATTGCCAACCTTGCAGTTAAAATTCTTTCAACCGTGTTCTACTTTCCAAATTGGAAATCCATATTGTTACCGTGGCGACAACCGGGTCGGGTGGATCCAACAAGTGGAAAAACTGCAAGTGATGGACTGGAAGTAATAGTTTTTTGTTGATTGCTGACTCCTTTTAGAGTCTAAAATTTAGACCATCCAGATGCAAACCTATTTAGCAATCAAATTTTGTTTTTGTTTGCTTTCGGAAGTCTGCACATTTTACAAAATATAACTTGTTGTTATACAAGTACATTTTATTGAAAATATTTGTACGATATAATATTTCTTGTCTTTTAAAATCATCGTGTATTTAATTGTACTTCTCCTGTTTCTTTGGAACAAAAAGTTTAAGAATTTATTATATCAGCTTCTTTTCCATACCCTGCTTTCATTGTTCAGTTTCTTTTTTACCTTTTTTTGTTATTTTTCATCAAACAAAGAAATGTGAATTACAACATGAATAAATATAACTTTCAGTTCATTAATGAATTAGCTTTAGTCAGCTTTGTACAGCAATACCGCTTATTTCAAATGTATATATGCCTGGTGGCTGGGAAGCCTACGAGCGCAGAACGATGCACTATTGTTTTTGGTCGTCAACTTGGGACTGCACAATTTCTATTGCTTAGTAATTACGTATGTCAGGGTTGTAGGTAATCTGGCCAAATCCAGAAATAATATATGAAACTTCAGTTGATGAAATAGAAGAACGCAATGCTCACATAATTGAGCACGAAAGGATGGATTTACGTGAGAATATACTTGCAATATACAGATTACTGTAAGATTACGGCGAGATAAGGGGCGTTTACTGAAGATCTCACAGTGCGCGGTTATCTTATTAAAAACAGTGAGCTTCTCCGTGTTTAGTGCACGAGCGTATCTTATACAAATAAAGTGGGCATAATGGACCTTTCCCCGAGCATCGACTTCCTTGTTTACTTCGTAACATTCGCCAATCACCAAGATGCAAAAAGTGACGTAACAATGCCCCCTTTCTCGCATCCGCTCAGACACTTTTCTCACTCAGACAGATTTTCAAGCGTGAATGTAAAATTACCTCGTTTTCGCGTTTTTGAACTCTATTCGTTAGTTTTCAGTTGTGTTTTGGAAACTTAAATAAAAATCAGATAATTCAATGATCACTCTGTCTTTCTAGAAGTTTTAATTTAATTGCAGTAATAAAAATGAGTGTATAAATAGCTGTGATAGACAAGCCTGAAATTCTTTACCGGTACTTTTAAAAAACAGATTGTTGTATGCGATGAATCATAATGATGATTTGAAACACATACCCCATTTTACAGGCGACAACTCGCAAAACACCCTTAAAATAGCCCTGACAATTTTGCAATGGTAAAGTATAGAGAGAATTTTCCGAGGGTCAAAGGTCGGGGAAAGGTCCATAGGCGACAGATAGCATCTCTGGACTCTCATGCATTGAAATTGTAAAAAAAAAACGCAAAATTCTGCATCTATCATCTATTACCAGGCCCTCTTCCCATTCAACGGCATATAGGAAAGGAACGATCATGAGATCTCATCATACTGCATCCTCTCATTGCACGTCGCGTTGGGAAACCAGGGTTACTGGCGAATGTGCCCATTTGTTAAGTACATAAGTACATAAAGTTAAAGTAATGAAAGCAGCTATATTGTAAAAATGTTCTGATTCAAAAAATGTCGTTTAATCACAGAAGGATTTTTTAAATAACGTTTGATTGCAAATTCAATTTTATTCTAGGAATGTGAATCGTTGATGATCGTTCACTCAATATCAGCATCTCTCTCATTCATTTTACTCATTGTTTTTATGATCGACATTTTATATTCTGTACATCTTCAATGCAAATGCAAATGCGGAAAAAACACAACGGAAGAAACTGAGGTAATAAATCTGTAGTAATTGTTATGCTTTGACTAAATTGTTTACAGGTAATACGTGAAGCTTTTAACATCTGCCCTGATTATCTATTCCAACCATTTTTTGCAAATTTCATATCTATACCCTACTTCAGTGCATACCATGTTAATTTACTAATCTCATAAGAAGCTTCTGGTCAGCTGGCACGCAACATAACAGCTTTCATGCTAACAGAGATTGTGTTACGATTGTCTTCTTATTAATATTATATGCGTGACGCACGATAGTTTGCCAAAAAATATCATGCTATATATTACCTGAATCGAAACCATAATGATGTTTTGAAATTAAACTAACAAAACGTTTTCAATTGAATGAGTTTATAAATGATATTCTCAACATCGTTAAATATATGACAATCCGTCAACAGGAATTATTTTTACAAAATATTTCAGGTGAAGACAAGTAGCTCACAGACAACTATTGCTAATCCACAGATAATATTACCTTCAGGTCAAACTATTGTTATTGAAGGTTAGTAGAATTTTCACAGACAACTAGCCTTGCTTACTATTTAAAAAAAAATAAATGCACCCTATAGGCTATCATATTCTGTCTTGAATGAGATTGAATAGATTCCTGATGCTTTGTAACGAATGAATAATTGTGATCATAATTTAAATGAGTTTTGGCAAATGAAAATACTCAACGTTATATTATGTGCATTAATACTTGCGTTTGTATCATACTATGTAACTTCGTTGTTTCACGACAAAACCCCATTTTATTTTCAAAATTTACTGCCTTCTTTAATATATAATTTTTAAAATTCGGTATTTGGTTCAACACATTGATATTGGTCATTTACTGTTCCCATCTTACGGCATGCTGTTACGTTGCAAAAGATGTTGCTAGAAATTCCAATACATTATATAATACATTTATTTCATTGATTATATATACTTTATTTTGGTGGAATTACTTCACGATGATTCTTTTGCTACTCGACAAACTTTTAGATATCCAATTCCAATAAATTCTATCTTTTCATCAAAGAAACTTTTTTTTTTTTATCAGGTGCTTATATATTTTCATATGTTGTTTCAGAACAACCTGCCAGCGCGCCTGGAACCCCAAAAGTAGCATACAGAGAAGAACGCCGCGGAAGTACCATCAGCGTTATTTATCTCCCTAAAGTAACAACCTGATTCTGAAAGCAAAAACAAAGTTTTAGCAGACCTGAATATTATAAAAAAAAATTGCATCATAAATAAGAGACAAACTTTTTCTCTATCTGTAAGGTTGGTAACCGATTTACCGTTGAAGTTGAGCTTTTGTGTCTTTTTCATGTTTCAAGCACACTATTATTATACATCGGGAATTAAGTGAGTTTGTTGAATTAGATCACTTTTTCACTAGAAAACTACTTGATAAACCTATCAATTCGACTCAATCCTACAATTTTTTCATTGCAATTTTACATGTTTTGATTTTGTGATTTTGAATTCTTTCTATATCGTTGCTTCTAGAAATAGCTATACTTATATTTAACTCAAGTGTCATGTGTCATAGAAACCGAAACCACCATTCGTCAACTGCAAATCAAATTACGTGTTTGGTTTTTTATTAGTAGTATTAGCCATGTCTGCATCCACCTTTCTCCTTTCCCTTCACACCCTAATGAAAATATGTGCAGTACGTTCATAAACAGTTAGTTCTTCTTTTACAATTTTTTTTTCATTTCTAATTTACTTTTTTTATATAAATACTATCTACATTGCTTTGATTTTTAATATCAAGTATATTTCAAATATCCATTTTTTCCTTATTTCTATACCATCAAATAAAGTATTACTATCTTCAGCTTCAAGGTTGAAACGGTTTTTTAACTTTTTTCAAAAATGAAACATTAATACCGATATTTTATGATATATATATATACAATGTTTATATGTAAACTGTAATGTGAATATATGTTGAATGTGTAAACTGATAATTAGTTTTATGCGTTGTATACATGTATTCTATCTACAGCAGCGTTTCTTAACCTGGGGTGAATTTACCCCTGGGGGTAAATTTCTTCATTCTTGGGGGTAAATTTCGTTATTGTAAAAAATATTTCAACAAACACAAAACATATCTATTTGCTTGTTTTGTTACGAGAAATCAGTGTCAGCGTATTATTTATTAATAGTGGCCATATTTCAAACAAAATTGAAAACCAACACCCATAAATAAGTCGAGTTCTTTTCATTAAACTTTGACCCCCTTTCTTTAAAAGACTTGGAAGACTCAAAAAATCGTTAGTAACGTGTGCGATTGCAATTTACTATAATCGCCGATATTTTTCGTCAGCGTGGCTTGTTATTTTGGTCGTAAACACCTTAACGTCGGTGTTTATTCTCGCTAAATCACATATTTCCTTCGACAGAATTATGTCGTATGTTCATCGGCGGGAATATGCTCAAGTATATCATTTAATTAGTAACGCTAATTTATTGGTTGACAGGCGGCAATATAAAATACTAAACATAAAACCCAAAACAATAGAAGTTTCGTTATAGGAGTCAGGCGACGATTAAAAACGCCTCATTGTTCATTGTAAATCGCGAAATTTCGTGTGTCTATACTCTATAGCACACATGATGTTCAGTCGGCGTTGGAATCCATAGCGTCAATGAAATTGAAATACAGTCAATTGTGCCTGCTGAGAAAGTGGCGTATTCGCGGCGAAGGAATTTCAGTAGCCTTTCGTAAGGAATTTCGAGGCGAGGAATATGTATTTTTGATTTACTAATATATTTCATGTGTATTTTTATTGCCCTAAATTAAATTGTAATTTATGTGAATTTATATCAGATCTTTTCTAGCGGCGAAAACGAATTCGCAAGATCTAAAAAAAAGGATCAAAGCTAAATATAATCGGGCAGTTCATCTCATGTTTTCATGTTCACAGATTACCTTGGTAATTTAGACTTTAGAGTAGTAAAGTTTTTCTTTTGCCGCAGGAAGAAACAATTGCAAGTTACGTTGAACACAATTAAATTACTATAGAAAGACATTTTAGATTCTCATAATTGTCAGGGAATTGAGGAAAGTCGGCTTCAAAAGTGGGGTCTTTTAACGAGCGCGTAATCGCGACGACTGTTTCAGAAGGGATTGGATTTTAACCCTGTGTCTAAATCTTAGCTGCGCCCCTAATCAGAGCGATTTTTTATATTTTGAGTTGACGTATCTTATTCAGGATGGTCTTTATATTCCTCAGAGTGTTCTGTGCAAAAGGCACATACGATTGGAGAAATCATCTTGAAAGCTTTTTGTGATCGATGATTTCATCTTCCCACTCCGAACTATTTTCGCAACTCTATCACCTCAATACCCCCCCCCCCCGCATACATTCCCCCCCTCCCACACCACTCTTTTCCCACCGAGCCCCACTCTCTTATTTCTCACGCCGAACTGAAGCCCAATACAGAGGCGAAGACGGGGTATGAAAAAGAAAGAGAGAGAGAGACTTCGCGTCTAAATTTAGAGCTATTTATATTTCACCTGACGAATTTTTAATATCAGATGTATTGGGGGTAAATCTTGTAACCTTGTTTGATAAAGGGGTAAATTATTCAAAAAAATTTAAGAACCACTGATCTACAGTCAAAAAAATGTATTCAAGCATACGAAACGTTTCTGGGCCATATAAGAATGACACTAACGAGACGTACGATCTTTGAAGATAGGTCAACTCAGTCAGGTACGTGAAAACGATTCCGATCAAATTATTTGCCATGAAGGTTACATATGGTATGAATTCGATCACTCTTGCCAAATTTAGAGCCAAAAAGTATGAAAGAACTGCTTATGCATGAGTTTAGCACTGTCCTGTTCTTAACTTCAATTAAATAGTGACAAGGTACACACGCGCTTTAAACGTATGATTCGCATGGTATTCACAAATAGCCTACCCACGAGGCAAAATATTTTGTAAGACCGTGACGATATATCATCTTGGATGATTTCATCCCGGATAAAAAAATTATTACTATTACGAGATTTCATAGCCGTGTCATTTGACAGGTTTTACCACCGCAAAATTAAGATTAGACAGACAGCAGAGCAATTCCCAAATACACGGACACGGATGTTGAAATACTAATCACAGTACCGGTAGATCATTCTACTTGCGCTGAAATCTTAATATGATCAACCGAAATTTCAAATCGAAACGCAAATTAAGTTCCATCGCAGCAGCAATTCACATCGGTACGGGTATAGGATCCCATGCCGAGCAGTGATCACCAGCTTTGTCGGGGAGATTTCGAACTAATCTGACCGCAATCACGACACGCACTGCCACGTGAAAGCGCAATATGCATGAAAATTAAAAAAAAAAAAAAGTGGGCGATTCAGCGAGCTCCATATAGAACTCATGGAAAATTCGAATCAAAATAGCTTTCCAGTGGCTTCGACAATCTTTAAGTACTTGATCGATTAGTCTATTATAAGCGGAGAAAGCGATTTTTTCAAACAACAAATGTCACCTCAACAACAACAACAACAATTTCGTGTCCTATAACTATAGATTGTAATGCGTCGACTGCAATATGTTGGAATTACGCAATATCGAAGACCTAATTGCCAATTATATTTCTCATTATACTATCGATCATGATTTGTAAAAAATGTCTGGTGCAGGAATATTTTATAATCTCGATTCGATAGACATTAAAGCCACTTCCATATGTTGAAATGATAGTCGCGAGAATCATGTCTATAAAAAAATAAAATTAATTTTATACTATACTTAGCTAGAAAACCCCTGTTGGATTACTTAATAATACAACGCGAAAGAGTCATTATGTAATTGAAAACAAGTGTTTATTAAAATGATATGAATATTTAAAAGATAGTAATTATTACCATCCATTGTGTTCGAGTTCAAATTAAAACGCAAAAATTCCCAAGACAATATATTGATCAATATTTAACATCGGATTTAAGCAAACATATAATCTACTCGTTTGAAGAATTTATACAGGTTACCACATTGCGTTTTAAACTGTTAGCTGTCACAGAAAATTGGTGTCCCAGTTGATTAATTCATATATCGCGAACCATCATTAAAATTACATTTACAGTGAACAAACGACTTTCCAGAAGACTAACATCATAAGTTGTTCACGTGTCATGAGAAAAGTGAGTTTTTATTACAGTAATAAATCATAATTAACATTAAAACATGTTAAAAAATAAAAAAAAAAGCATTAAACAGAGTTAGGAATATTATATCATCGAAATAAAATGACCTGGAAATCACCACAAATATATAATATGTAACACTTCCTAAGCATGCGAGTCACTTAATGACAAGAACAATGTAATCGCTCCTAGAAATACTATTAACGTAATTTATATTTAGATTATTATTGATTAATCAAATATCAATTATTTCCAACTCTTCTCGAAAAGATTTCGATGCTACCATCCCGTTTTTTTGTTAATTATTTTTATTGCATATTCAAAATCGGAATGGAACGATTGGCACTTTTTTATTCTATCTGTGAAGATAATAAGATAACCAACATTAAGTGCAGGAGCTTATTTTTCACATTTTTGTTACCGATATTAAAGAAACAAAAAACATGCAGTACATACGTTTCGCAATTTCAAGGTTAACCTTCATTACATGCTGATTAAGAGGCGCTCCAGAAGTGTGTACTAATGTACTGATATGGAGGTAACTAATTTTGATCGCCTACTTCACATCAATTTATATAAAGGGACTGAAACCTTCGGGCAGGGGGTATATTTACTTAGCTAACAAAAACAGTTTTCGAACTCGTAATAGAACTAAAATAAGGGAAATCGGAATAAAATTATGATACACCTGATACACACCCTAACCTGATACACACACTACGGGAGTACCGAATAAAATGTCCCGTATTAGAAAGAGTCTGGACAAATATTCCAAACGTTCGAATTATTTGCAATGTTATTATAATCGTAAAAACAATCAAATATTAAAGTTTAAACCTAGATAATAAAGTTCATTCAGTTTGAATTTACAGAAATAGTTTACAGGATTATTTACATGGAAAAATACTTTTTCTTTTCCACTATTGTACCGCCCACTATTGTACCGTCAGGTTTTGACATTTAGCATTCTTGATTCATTTTTTTCTAAAATGAGCCTTGCAATCTGTTGCAAAATTGACTACTTTCCGAAATTTCCATTCAAGCTATACAGCCGGAATTCCGGCATATTGACCGGAAGTCGTCGGGAAAGAATCTTGACTGCCTCGTGATTTGCCTGCATAGATTTAGATCAAATTGATGAAGTTATGTATATTTGTGAATTTATTGCTAGTAATTTGGCAATTGTTCATAGATGTTATCCCGACTAATGGGAATTAATTCACATTGTGATATATACATATGTAATTTTGAGAGACATTATTAACGAGTTATTATTTGAATGTCTTACTTTTTGAAAGATCTTCTTGAGCTTCCTGAGTTGCCCGTCTCACACTGTAGTTGGTTGACGGCTGCACTTTCTGAAATATCAACATAATGTGTTACAAAAACTGCATAAAATGGCTCTACTATTCTTTTTAAAATATTTGGCCGCAATCTTTTCTGAAAAAAGTGAAAATGTGTCATCTCAGTATTTAAAAAAGTTTAAATGGAACGAAAAAATACTGAAATTAAATTTCAAAGATTTCAAAAAAAAAATAACAGTAAGAAGATATTCAAGACAAATTATACTGACATCGACAATATATTATATTATTAATGATACTGAGTTTTTTTTCTTTAAAAGTGACAAACATGAAGAAATTGACACTAATGTGATATATAACGTGTAATGCAGCACCGTGTCCAACGGATTATATAAAGAGTTTGTCAAAGATATATAATTCGCCGATAAAGGTTGGGATAGAAGCATATTATATTTCTAAAATACGATATTTATGGTCCTTTAATGTGGAAAACCCTATTAACATCGATTTGAAATTTAATGACTTGTGATAAAAGCCTTCTATTCTTATTCTTATAAATTGAACACATTTCAACTATCGTCATTAGGACTAAATAATGATTCCGCCTACTCACTGCGTTACAATAATATAAAATTATTTGTAACAAAAAATTTACAATAAAAACTAATAGTAATGTCAAAATTCAATTTCCTTAATTATTATTCATTATGTTGTCATTTTTGCACCAGGTCACGCGTCTGAATAAAATCAATACTATATTGTCGTAAAAGTCTAACACGAAATGAAATAAATTTAAGTTTGTATCAGTAAAATTTTAACTGATTTTAAAATGGCGACTATTGGTTGTGAATAGTTTATTATTTATTAAAGAAATATTCATCAATCTATTCGCGATGATCACAAATGCCATTGTAGACGAAGGATTGCTTTAAATACCAAATTTAAAGAATTGGATATGGGACCATGATTTGAAAAAGAACTAATAACTCTGTTTTTGTTGTTTATTGTGTTTAAATCTCAAGTAATTTGAAGCAACTGGTATTATTTGAGGTAATTTTACAGTGAGAATCTCTGTTTCACGTACAATGCTCTCTATCTAGTATAGTTGGCATGGCACCAAGCAAAGCTATAACATATAATTGATAAAAAAAAGCTGTCTGGTGCACTAAGGTTAGGATGATTTTCCAATTCTATTTGAGGATTGCAATTTATCATATGGTTTACAAACACACGTGTGGGCGAGACAGTTTCGGTATTCCTATAATGAAAAATTGGCTGATTCAATCATTTTTGATAACAAAATGAACTATTAGGTGTTGCAATTGATGCAAAATTATTAATAGTTATTTATCGTTTTTTTACAAAGCATGGAAAGGTGGATTTGATTTACATGAATGTGATCAATAGGTATCTGTCAACATATTACTGCATATCCAAAACAAATTTGTCACATCAAGATCCTATAATTGTATATTGTCACATCAATTATCTGTACGAAGCAATTGCATATATTTTAAAGTTTGGAAAATACTAAATTTGAAAAAGGGTATGGCTGACTGGAATTATGACTTGTATAGCCAGAGCTTTCTCACTTTTCATTTCAATTCAACCACCAGACCAACCAGATTACCAATTTTATTGGCGTAATGTGGTAGCTATAACGCCTCTTAATTATATTCCTAACATTGTGGAAAATTTTAATGTCTCGGTACTGCTCAATTATCAGACAATATTAAAATAACATTGTTCTGATTAAACCTAAAAATACATTTAATTCAACGCAAAGTAAATATTGAGTAGCCACGCTTTTTATTGTTTACAATACCTCTCACTTCATTGTATCTTTAGTAACTTATATTATGATGACTAAATTTTCCACAAGGTTATATACAAACTAATATATTAATTGATATATAACTTTATCGAGCAAAATATAAGTGATAGGCCGTGTTTAGTATTTTTTTTTCTAAAATGTCATCAAGCCGTTAAGACCAGTTCAATTTGTGTTCTCAGCTCCCATTGTATCGCCACTAAATCATTATGACAGTAAATCAGCATAATTAATGATGAAGTGTACTGTTGCCTACTAGAGTTCTTCACTTATTTGAAAGGATACTAAGAAGTTAATAATGAATGAAAATGCTGTTTGGACGATATAGCAATGAATAGATTCCCATTAATTTTATTTTTTTAACTGAAGACTTTGTTAACTCACCACAAGTACAGTAGAACATAACTGCTCTGTGTTGTCGATGAGAAATCCCCATATAAAAAGTAACAAAATAATGCAGAATACAACACAACCAAGGGAATGGAAAACTTTGTGAGCAACCACGAACTGAAAAACAGAAATTTATATATTTTTTATATAAATAATGCATTGCATATCAATTCCATATGCAAAATCAACTATGGTAAATAAACGAAACAATTAACATGACAAATAGACAAATAGACAAAAAAATAAGTAGAAGAATATTCAAAACTATTTTTTGTTGCTATTTGAACAAAATTAACACCAAAGTCATAATAGTAGCATGAAATTTGTCCTAAAATTTCAATTTTGTTTAGCGGAATGCAAGGTTAACATTATATCTTACCAATTTAAATTTAGAAGTTGCTGCCATCGCCTCCAGGCAGATGGCTATGGCACACACCAACGTCCCGACTAACGTCGTCACTAGACTTGTATGTTTCTGCATAAAGCAATATAACGGTTTAAATTAATATCGTTTTTACAGCAGGTGCCAAATATCGTGCGTAATTAGTTTGCTCGCAAGGCTTCCAAACATACGAGTCATGTCTGGTTTGTGTGCATCCTTCTCAAATAGAACAATTAATTATGATGCGACAAAAATGTCGTAGCAAAAAAAAATTGAAAAATATTTTTATCGTACTTTATCGAAATGACTGAAAATAAATACTGGGCTTTGTTTGGCGATAATGTCGCAAATATTCCCAAACATTTTTGCAAGGACTCGAATACGTTTTACGAATATAAAATTGAAAATTGAAAATGGTAATAGCCCATTTGAAAATAAATGAATCGTGACTCAAAACGAACTTTGCAAAGATGTCTTATTTCGAGTATAGGTATACTATGCGATAAATATAATAGTCGTGTTGCATGTGAATCAATGCAGAAGATCCACAAAAATTTGTACCGAAATGATGTTTAGTTTATCCAGACTTTAAATAATATTGGAAATTATAGATTATTGTGAAGACGAATGATGCAAATATCCTATTATACGTCGTTTTGCATACTAGAATACAGTTTACATGTCGATCGTGGTACAAATTTGGATGCAGCTATTTTGATCTACGTATCTCGTATTGATATTACAATTTTAGTGAATTTCGCTTCGTTTGGTATGCGATGCAAGTCAATTTTTGCCTATACGCACTAATTAAAATCTTCAATGGTTGCCTCACCATATGATGAATTGAAGACAAGATTGTTAACCCCATTTCTCAATACAGGCTATGGGAAAATAGGACCCTGCTAAGAAGAATTATTTGTGACGACTGTTCACAGCATCACCGCAGTGGGTAAGTTAAGTAACCGCTGGTCGGTCGGATACCTCTTCTTTCACTGTCATGCGTATGAAAATATTGATTCGATATTGCCAGAGCCAAGTTCGTTCATTTGAAATAAATATGTAAATCCTACCCTATCTGATTTGCGTGTAAGAAATAAAAATAATGCGTGAGATTTATATAACAATATTCACAAGTTACAACAGTATAATAAATAAATAACTCACTGAAAGTTTGCTGGGATTTTTTGCTTTACATACCGCAAATCCTGAAGCTATCACCACCTAAATAAGTGTAAATGTAAAATTAACATCACACAAAAAGATAGCATTTGTTTCCAATTACAAAAACCTGTATGAAATATTTTGCACTCCTACCTGTAGGCATTCGCGACCCATTTACGAAAACATTTTCTATTTTTCGAAACTATTTTCACTGAACTATTCTCGTTGACATCAAATTTATATATTCAATCATAGTTAGTACAACCTGCCATATGGGTAAATAGATTTAACGACAAATCACAATAAACTTGTGAATTTTATAGGGGTGCTGTATTGAAGTTTTGCATGCTGTGAGATTAGTTTTCTCCCTGTGTGGCATACCAGATAATATTACAAAATTAAAGATATTTTTTACTAGTTGTTGACTGAATTTCAGTTATTTGTATTGAAACGCACGTAAAATATTACTGGTTTATACTTACTATAATACTGCCCCATAGGTTTGCACTGACATTTGTCCACGTATTACATTCACAATCCCAATTAACAGTGTTGCAATGAAGACTGTACGTACAAACAGTATAAAGAGCCAAACCAATGAATGCGGCAAACAATGCGAAAACGATCTGAGCAACCTAGAAATAAGTTGTATATATTCAAAAAGATTGTTATAGATTAGAATATAAGGTTCTTTAATTTGCAATCAACCGCAGATGCAACTACTTGATACAAAATTCATATTGATTCTTTGAGTACGTCATTGTAAAGGACGTTATTGAGACCATGAATTATGAATTTCAGTGTAAGTAATAGGTATTTTAATTTATACGTTCCCCCGCCCCTTTGGGGATACGGTATAAATTTGCTGCCCTAATTTTCAACTTTAAATTTGCGACTATTATTTTACGGAAACCATTATCTGGAAGGGAAGGCGTTGATGTTGGCATGGTTAGGTGTCAAATATACTATTAGATTCGAGTCGATTAATGTTCTGATATAAAATATATGATTCTGTTATGAAACAAATTTGGTATTAGAGTAATTGTGTAAAGCCTTCTTTATTTCAGAAACTATTTGATAATCGTGGTAGAATCAAACCGCTTAGGGATCGGATCCTCTTGCGCTATATCGGATTGCAGGCGTATTTTGTTCGCTTTTCGTGTAATATTTCATCACTGTTAGTGATGTCAGTCTATCTTGTCGATTAAGAGCTTATGTTGCTCTTATTGAGCAATTGGTTTTTAAAAAACAAAAAATATAGCTTTTCAAACGCGTATACTCCATACAGTATACTGAGACGGTCTACGATTCGTTCTGGGTCTTCGAGTTGCTTTTTCACTCAATGTGATAATGAAATATAGTTAATATATATCATAATACACTTACGAGAATCCTGACGTAAAGTCCGTTACTTTTCGGTGGTGGTTCCTGCAGACGACTTCGTCTGTGACCGTTAGAATGTGTATGAATTCCATTCATGATGTGACGTAAAATATAAACAATTTTCTATGACTAAGATCAAAGCTTGAAATAAATAGGTATGTTCATAAATTATTGATGTTCGAAAGAAGTAAAGTGGCCCGACCAAAATCAATTCTTGTGGGATAACCATCGATCGTCCTTAATTGGCATCATTGTATAAGTTACATAACTGAGACTGAGAAATTGCTGGCAACGGTCGGGTATTTTTACTATATTTAACTTAGTACAATGTCAGAAATCCGCATTGTTTTTGGGTATCAAACCTCAAATAGTGATCAGGTTCACTTATACAGGCCTGACCAGAAAATATACGCTCTAACCCGATCTGGAACCGGAAAGAAGTCACTTTTGTGGCCTGAATTGACAATATTCAACAATTTTCGTTGCTCTCTCGCAGTAAACACTTGGGAATTGCTATCGTGAGGCATCCAAACAATTATAAATCCTTGACATGCCCAACGAAATACTATAATGGAAAGGAAGAATAAATACAATAGATATATATTCACTAAATAAAAAACAACTATCAAATGTCTAAAATCCTAATCCTGCTCAAATGTACGATTTTCTCCGACTAAGAACCTGGCTGGTAATATTAGCCTACCGTAGTCTACTCGAAAAAGCCTGAGTAACCACGCGTAACAAACACAGTCAAGTTTATTTAGTTCATACTATTACGACAAGAACAGATTTATAATGTGAAAATCCAGATATGAATAACATCGTTTATCTATGACGACATAAAGTTATCCTCCTTAGGAAGATTATGACAAGAAAGAATGTTGTGACGATAAATCGTTTGCCGAATAAAATCACGTGCAACTTTTCTCAGACTCGAGGGCTAACCAAGCTCAGAAGATATGACTAACACAATTCTTGCGAAATTACTCAAATTTTAACATATTACCCGCTATACACCTATCCTATCTGCTTGACTCGAAATATTGTATCAAAAATGAGTACATACGTCCGTGTCCGAACGATAACGCAGAGGAAACTTTTGGCAAAACATAAACCCCAATCAATCGTTAAAACGTCTAGATTACCATTGCAAAACGGATAAGATTGAATAAAAAATAAATTCTGAATACAGATTTAAACGCACCACAGCTAAAATCCAAATCATACAACAGCAACAAAGTTAGTCTATTAGCGTTTTATCCAGATCCAGTTAGAGAAAAGTATGAAATTCTACCATATTGAGCCTAACTTTATACCCAGCTGATGCTTATTTCGCAAAATTTTTGATCTTAGAAATCCATTGATCCCGTATCATATCACAGTTGATTGCTGACGTAGCAAACGTTAATTTGTTGTGTTTAACTCAGCTATGTAAATAGTCTGCGTGATCTGTCGCTCAAATCGTGTCTAATTTAAAGAAATATTCCAGTAATATTTAATTATAACTGATAGATACATGAGCCACACACGGAGCTTATCAATAACCCTTAGATGGCACGGGTTTAATACGCGACTCTTATATTCAGAATATATATTGATTGAATTGCAATTATACTGGTCGTTCCCAATAGAGTTCGTGCAGATACGCTGTCACGTTATTTCTATGAAAAGCCAAATAAACTTTGAAACTAACATTTTATAGCCACGCCAACTTAAGGTCACAAATTATTAATTATGTCTCATTCCGAATCCCACATTCCAGCAAAAACTATATTGATTAGTCTTGAAATTCGGCCAGCAACTTAAATCTTGTTTCAAACTTGTATCGAGCATAAATGAGCAATCATATTTTATTCAGCCATTGCAATTAATGTATTTCACTTGCCTAATAGAAGTACTACTATGGTTTCCTAATCACATATCGCCAACAAAACAGACACAATTTATAATGATTATTGAATGTGAAAATTGATTTCTCATGATTTAAATTATTATTTTTTTATTGTGCAAGTTCTAAAAACGGGCGTTAAATAACAATACGATTCTTGACGGCGTTCGCCACAGTTATAAGCCAGTTTAAAATTATAAGTGTATTTTTTCATATATTCGTACTTTACGTGAGCAACTAAGAACAATCACAACCTTTGAAATACAGGTAAAAAACTATTTTCCGTTAGAATATCATTGTTTGAGTACGAAAACTTTTGATTAGAATGAAACAAAAAATCAAACTCATGTGGGTTAATTTAATTCATGTTACCACTTCACTTTCTATTTTAATTCATTTAGTCAGGTGAGTATTGTCCTTGTCATAGTGCAAAAAACTGTTAAGTTCTGAACTCCCTAATTCTAACGGAAACGACAGTTATAAATTAGAAAATATGAATGATAACACAAACACATAAGCTCTGGAATAAGGCAAAGTTCTCACCATCGCATGCAGGTAAAATTTGGATATTTCTAGTTGAAACAGTTTTGCTCTGAACTCCGAATCTTTTACAAACAGAGCAGAAAATGAATTCAACCGCGAAAACCTTTTTCTTACGGCTTTATGCGTATATGATATGTGCATGCATATCAAGATTATTTTACAATTCATCATTTTTAATAAATTTGCATGGTAATTTACATTTGAATATCCAATATTGAATATGATACTTCACGAAAGTATTACGTGAACTTTGACGTTCGAAATTAAATCTTAATTCACAAAAATGGAATATCAGTGTCGTCGTCAAGAAGCGTGTTGTGATCATCATCGTGCCTGTATCGCATGATAGATATGTATGTAATGACGATAATGTTCTTTGCAATTCTGACTTCGTCTCATCATACCAAACCGAATAAAGATAATTACTCGGAGCAGTTGAATAGCTAATTTGAGCTATACGTCCATAAAAGAGAGTAGAGCAAGAATAAAATAAAATATTTGCTTTCTGTTTTTGTTAACTACGTCACCACACGGATATTGGAAGATAAGCTATTTGGGAATTAAACTCATTGCTTTTCAACAATAAATATGTTGTGATAATTCAATTTTCATATAGTTAAATGGTCGATAATTTGAGAGGAACTTTATTTATTTTGATGCTTGATGTTTGGCAAAATGAATCGTTTTCATGTTTTTCACTGACGGCTAATAAAAATAAAATGAATGAAAAGAGTATGAAACAAAATGAGTCTCTGGAATAAAATGCAAACCTGTCATAATTTTCTACACATTTCTACACAATTCAAAGCATATATTCTTGCTGATTTCAGCAGATGGAAAAAATAATTTCATTTTAAAAGTATGTTCAGTTTTCCATGTATTTTCCTTCAAAAATAAAAGTGCTTACATAGATATCGAACACTTCTAGTTTGGTTGTTTTGGGGCTTGTTAACACGGCAACTCGTACTTTTCTCAAAACGGAAGAATTTTTACTAAAATGCAGTAAGAAATGGGAATAACTGAACATTTCTGAGTCTAACACTACGAATCAAATGAAATAGGAAAATCTGATCGAGCATTACAGTACAAAAACGATTCTTCATTAACGCATGTGATAGTAGTATTTTTATAAAGCAAAATCGAACGTATATGGGGGCGACTGAAGCATAGAAATATTGCTTTCAACTGACCGCTTCACATTCTTCCCACGTGGACTACTAGCTTGCTATTGCTGCTTTTGTTCACAATTTCAGGCCATCAAGGTCAAGTCATCAGATTCAGTCAAAGATTACTGAATACATTATACAGTGTACAAGTATATAATCTGGTCGCAGCATAACAATTCACAGTACGATAGGTACAAAAACGAATATTTTAAATTATTTTGAGGCAAAATTAAAATATTCACAACATTTTCTGGACGGGTAGCTTGAAATCTATCATCTCGCTACTAACAAACTTACATGACTGTTGTAATCGCATTAAAGTTTAATATTTTAAGCCTTAAAATACATAGGCAGGCATGAATTAACTTCAATATTTATAAAATTACACAGAAGAATACTATTCTTGTATGTATTCCATTTCATTTGCCTCATTGTTTTCCAATGAAGTCAATGTGTGAACGTTTGTCTCTGGTTCTGGTAACTCTGAAAAAAGGTAACATGTCAATGTTGCAATTTCGGTTCACTGCAAGTCTTATTTCCATAGATGTATACAATAATCACTAAATTGGTATTGAAACGAAAATCAACATAATATTTGAGGCCTACCGATATGTCCACTGTATGAGGGAGGCGAGTTCATATCAGCGTTCCCCGATAACTGCGCCTCTGGAGACGTTGTGTTTCTTATTTGTGATTCCATAGAAACTGGCATCGGCATTTGCGTAGGTTGCCTTACTAAAGTGTAAAATTTACAAATGATTTTTTTATGATAATCAAGCAGTAGATTTAACAATTTTAAAGCAGGAATTGATCAATGACAAATACTAATTTATCAGTAAACATTTGTAGCGAATGTGCATTGTGTAACCATGGATTATAATGATTTTAACCATTTCACATTGATAGCATGTAATATTTCACAAAATAGGCCACATTATGCTTTCGCACCAGCGTTAATGCATTCGTTCCATGTATTGCCTTTCTCGTTTCGACCAATTTGATGACGTATCGTTTCCGGTTTGCCGAGATGACTCTATAATATTGTGCTTTTGTTTCATTAGAATTAAGTGTGTACAATTTTATCTGTATTTGGAATTTGGATCGCGCATCTTTTCAATAACATACAACAATTCGATATTCAACATCGTGTGGGAATCCAGATTGGAGTCACATTCCATAACACGTGTTAATTAATAACGTGGGAATCGAACTTTGAATATTAGGGTGAACAGTCTTTATCCCCAAGACTTGCATATCTTCTCCCTAAACATTAATCAAATTTGACCTTCCATCCATTGCCCTTCTTGTATAGAGTTGGACTCCAATGAGTTACTCAAATTTCAATCAAATAGAATTTTACTGTGGTACCTGTGTTAATCCTTATCATTGTACACAGCTACACGATTACCTATATGTTCAGAGTACGCGAGAGGTGAACTCATAGCGACATTCCCTGGTAACTGTGTCGGTTTGTGATTTATGTTTCTCTCGTTTGCTTTCATGGTAACCGTTTCCGGTATTTGAGTAGGTTGCCTCGCTAAAAAGTAATATTTATTAGTGATTAGCTTTTTCAAACATGAGAATGAAAGTTATCAGTTTGCGGTCTGAGACAACGCTTGCTTTTGATATCATATTATATTTTATTACAAACATTACGGTTTTTAAAGTAATCGTTAAATGATTGAAGCATATATATTATAACGTTGTGGCAGCTTTGAAGTATAGGAAAGTTATGAGAATGGTATAGAATGTGAACGTGAAGTTAGTTACGAAGGAAAACCACGAAAATTGCTATCGCGACAGCTTCAAGCCTTAGCTTTGTTTGCATAGCCTTTTTCGTATCGACCAATTTGGATGAAGTGTGTATTCGGCCATCGTTCGGGAGATGAAATATTTTTTTTTTTATGATTTTGCTGATTGGATTCGACCGTAAAACTGCATTAAGGGCTTAAGTGTATTTCAATATTTCTGTATTTAGATTGGATTGTAATTTTTACTATATGTATACGAACATTTGGCGTTGAATATATTGTGTGCTCATTGACTTCTGAGTTCAGAGCGGATTTACACTCTATTAAACGTGTGTCAACCCAATAGCACGCGAGTGAACGCGCAGATATGGTCAACCGTCCCTATAATACATTTTCGGTTCAACTTACATGTTCCTCTGCCATATGACGATGGATTTCCTTCAACAACTCCAGGCAAATGCATGGCGTTAGATGCCATTGTTGTCTCATTCACAACTGAAGGCCGATGTACTTAAGTAAATAGGTGATAATATTTTTTCACTACTGATTTAAATATACTACCCTTCTAAGGGAAACATTTAGTAACTTTCGTAACATGCAAATTATGATCGCCATAATATTAATAATGATTTATATTTTAAGAGTGTTCACAATGATAACAGGTATCCGAGGTCGAAAGCAAAACTTGCCTATACACGTCACAGTATTAGGACCCATCAAGGCCAGAGCCGCCTTTACTTCCTTAGGAAATCATGATCTTGGTTTGGGCGAATTGTAGTTTCTAGTCAAGCACTTTGTGTAAAATGTTACCATACCATTAATCTGGTCCGTTTCTGGAGATGTTGTGTTTCCTATTTGTGATTCCATAGAAATTGGCATCGGCATTTGCGTAGGTTGCCTTACTAAAGTGTAAAATTTACAAACGATTTTTTTATGGTAATTCAGCAGTAGATTTAACGATTTTAAAGCAGGAATTTATCAATGACAAATACTAATTTATCAGTAAATATTAATCAAATTTGACCTTTCATCCATTGGCCGTCTTGTAGAGTTAGGATCCAATGAGTTACTTGGATTCCAATCATATAAATGGTACTGTGGTACCTGTGTTAAAATCTTTGTACAGCTTCATGATTACCTACCTATATGTCCAGGGTACGCGAGAGGCGAACTCATAGCGACCTTCCCTGTTAACTGTGTCGGTTTGTGATTTATGTTTCTCTCGTTTGCTTCCATGCTCGTTTCCAGTATTTGAGTAGGTTGCCTCGCTGAAAAGTAATATTTATTAGTGATTAGCTTTTTCAAACATGAGAATGAAAGTTATCAGTTTGCGGTTTGAGACAACGCTTGCTTTATTTTATTACAAACATTACAATTCTCAAAGTAATCGTTAAACGATGAAGCATATATTATGAAATGTCGTGACAGCTCTGAATATAGGAAAGTTATGATAATGGCAAATAATGTGAACGTGAAGTAGTCACGAAGGAAAACCGCGAAAATTACTATCACGACAGCTTCGATCATTAGCTTTGTGTCCATGGCCTTTTTCGTATTGACCAATTTGGATGACGTGTGTTTTCGGCCTTCGTTCGGGAGTTGAAATATAGTGTTTTTTATGATTTTGCTGCTTGGATTTGACCGTATAAATGCATTGAGAGTTTGAGTGTATTTCAATATATCAGTATTTGGATTGGTCAACCGTTCCCTATAATACATTTTCAGTTCAACTTACACGTTCCTCTGTCATATGACGGTGGATTTGCTTGAACAGCTCCAGGCAAATGCATGGCGTTAGATGTCATTGTTGTCTCAATCACAGCTGAAGGCTGATGTGCTAAAATATATAAGTGATAATATTTTTCCACTGCTAATTTAAATATACTACCCGTCTAAGGGAAATATTTAGTAAATTTCCTAACATGCAAATTATGATCGCCATAATATTAATAATGATTTATATTTCAGAGTGTTCAGAATGATAACAGGTACCCGAGGTCGAAAGCAAAACCTGCCTATACACATCACAGTATTAGGACCCATCAAGGTCAGAGTCGCCATTACTCCCTTAGTAAATCATGATCTTGGTTTGGGCGAGTTATAGTTTCTAATCAAACAAATTGTGTAAAATGTGACTATACACGTTATACCATCGGGAACATATCGTGAAAGGCCAGATAGGCTTTCCTAATTTGGCAACCATAATTTCACTCAAACAATATTTCACGCAAAAGTAATTTTATATACAGTAGCGAGAGGCCAAAGAAATAAAATTACATGCTATTAATTCGGATGCGAATGTTTTTTGGTTCATTTTGCTGTACACAAGCTTGAGTACTGAGTACTTGTTTGATCCGCTTATCTATCTAATACCAGCGCTGTAAGTATTTACCCCACATTTGCTGAGGTTGAGGCTGCAAGTATCTCGTTTGCTGCTCTGCCATATAAGCATTGTTGACTGCGCCTTGTTGAGGATATGCTGTTGAAGTCATTGGAATAACTACCGTGTTGACCTATAAAGCAGTTTTGATTTAATATATTTATGAGTGCCCTGTGGTAACACATCCACGTAATACATTGATGACATCTAAAAGGGGATTTGTACAGAGTTTTTTTCATTACATTTTAGGGTAGTAAAGCGTAAAACTCAATTTAAAAAGCTGAAAAAGTGATCAAAATGAAATCATAGATAACCGGATGTATCACTCTATCTAAAAATTCTCATATGAACACTTACCTGATCGTTGCCACAGCACTCGCCACATCCTCCAACACAACATGATAAAACAGATGTTGTAAAAGTAAATATGACTTGTAAGCTGGCAATCGATAGCAAGGCTATGTGTAGATTTTGTAATGTCCACTGCAAGCCAGAATTAAAAACGTTAAGAGTTATTTTGATTATGCTTGATCAGTCTAAAATAGTTTCCACATTCTAGAACTCTCCAGTTAAATTCCAAAATGACTATTTGAAAATTCGTTAAATTAATAAATAACATAATATGAGCTGGATGCAGGACTATATGGAAATGAATGAACCACTACCAAAATGGACAAATTTTCAAATCCGAATCCAGTAATTGCTCGGGTAGCCCTGATTTTCAGATATTTGGAGCGTTTAGTCTGGAATAAACAAATTTAAATCAAAAGTCTAAATTTACTTAAGGCGTGTAAACAAATGAACTAAATTCGAATAAACTGATTCATAAAAAGATTAATACACTCACGCTATAGTAGTAATAGTAATAGTAACTGTCAAAAACGGCAAACACTTCCAAACAAACCATGGCCAAGTTCAACAAAGTTGAAAATGTTGAAAATCCAATGCTATAGGATGCCTGGGAAAAAATGATCAATGAGAAAACTGTTTCAAACACAATACAAAGTAGTAGCTTACAGACACATAATCAAACAGAACTAATTTTGTTCGGTTTCAAACAAATATACCTCTAACTGTCTGCCCCGAAGCTAGTCTTAAAAAACTATAACTATCAACAAAGAACATTCCTTCTGTTTCTCCTACCAACTTGTCATATTGACAAAAGAAGAAAGTAAATCAAAAGTGACATGTGAGTTTTATAGCGGTGGAAGAGGATCTGGATAGTATACTACTTTGCCTAATAATACTTACTAGTTTTTTGACGGATTCGCTCCGAAATCAATGTTGATACATCCAGCAAACAGAGTCTAAATTATAATAAGAAATATTTTTTGGGATTTTCAAGTATTTCGCATTTAAGTATATTTCATCTATACGGTTCTATTTCAATAAAATACGGTAAATTTGACGATATTGCAGCAATTCAATTTTGTACAAAAATTTACAATACAAGGTTTATTTTGGTGAAATGTTATGAGCTGAACAAAAACATTCTGGCGAAGATAGCAATAAGCTATTTTGCATATTATGAACAAAACAAATTTGCAAGACTCACAAAAGTTCCAGCCCATATTCCCTGAGCAGACAACGAAAAACGTGGCAAATCGCAATCAATGTAATGGTAACCAGAAGCATCATGATAATGATATAAAATCTTCCAGTAGCAATCCCAGTATCTGTCCGCGGCAAAGATTATTGTTGCAATACAACAACCGATGGAAGATAGCCCAAGTAAAATTTCAGTAACCTGTGAGTAATATAATTGTGGTAAGAAGAATAAAAATAATATAAAGATTCATTCCAAGATTAACTGAGCAGAAACAACAAAACCATTACGCGTTTTTAAGTTTGTTCATTTTTGCAATAAACAGATTATGACAATTTAGAATTCTCTTCTAAATGAGCACAAAGTGTACAAGATAACATGAGAAAAAGAAGAAAAATCTCGAATGTGTTCATTTTCTTTATTGCGCGCTTCGAGTAAATAATTTAAATTGAACTTTTTAATTCGGAACTACAATGATATTCTGTCTATAACGATAACTGTTTTATATTCCAGCATTATTCGGAAAAAAAGAATGCAAACGGTATTCATTAGTATAGATTTTAAGATTTTTATTAATATGATTATACTTGAGTTTCTTACCCCAATTCCAATCAAAGAACTTTTATTGACAGAGGATATTTGAAGTTGTCGGTTTCGGGAATTTCGAGATTCCATAATGTACTCGATGATTATTAAATATCTTATTTTTCCGTATACTTAGATAGGTATATTATTATAAATATGAATTCATAATATTATATAGCCCTGTGCGCGTAACCTGGGCCACTCATAACCTTTCTCTTTAAAAATCTATACCAGTGGTTCGAAAAATATGACAATACTAATAATAGAAATTTGAGTTGGGTTGCGCGAGACTAACTTCCTATCTTTTCCCTATGCCTTTATGCTAGTGGATCCGTATGCGTATACTGCAAGGATACTGTAGCTGGAATAAACATGACTATTCTATTCAATTAAAGAGTCCAGCTGCACACTAACACAAATGTATTTCTGTAACGTTTCGTCCGACCAGAGTCAGACTTCCTCAGACAAGCAGTTTACAACAATGGCAAGAAAGAAAATTTGCTGAATGAATTTGAAATATCAAATCAAGTATGACGTAACAATGCATAAACATTTAATTTGCATTTAGCCGTAGAAGTAATGATTGGGAAGATTAGAACCACAAATATCAGTGGAGCTCATTTCAGATGTAATTGAAAAAAATAAAATAAAAAAAGGGTTTTATTATTGCATTTACGAAAATGATGGGTAACTAAATGTAATTGAAATTATGGGCACTTAGAGAACCACGAGGAAGTAAACCAACATTTAAACATAAATCAAGGCTTAGTCTGGTGAGGACCAATTTCAAAATTAAAAAAGGTTAAAAGTTATTGCTGAATTTTGATCTTAAATAGCGTTAAAATATAATATTAATTCATAATAATAAATGAATAAATTAACCATCTAGCATATTTCGAGTAGGACAAAAGAAAATAAATAAAAAAATTATCGCAGGCACATAACTCCAAGGTTTCGAATTATAATTAAAATTAAACTTGGGACACTTGAAAATAGTAAAATAAAACGCCAATCAAGGGGCGAGTAATAATATAAACTTAAGAAAAAGAGTGATTGTTAAATTTAAATATTATATGACGTTGGAATGAAAATTATTATTAAATAATAATTCTTTGATGAGTCTACAGTCTATTTCTCCCGTGAATTGATATAATAATAATACACTAAAATAATAATAACACGCACTAATAATAGATACAGTCATACAGAGTAGGGACAATGCAGGCGTCACCTCGTTATTACGTGTTTATATTCGGAAAATCCTACCTATAGACTTATATAACATCTTGTACCAACTGCTCTGATGTTTTTTCATTTTGAATAATAAGCTAGCCAACATAGTAGACTGCTAGTCATGGAAGAGCATAATTCAATCAGTCCCTATTCTATGATGTAACAAAACTAAATCCTGTGTAATGAGTCGAATGTTGCTAGCCTTTGGTAATATTAGTAACCAGTGGCGGCGCGTCAATAAGGCCAACCGGGGCAATGCCCCGGTTGTTTTTTCGGTATAATAAAAAATATTCGAAAAATACCCCAATATCGGTTGCACAGACTGTCTACACTAGCCATATTCTCCCGACATGGTTCATTTTTCGCTCGCTAAGCCTTCGCCGAACGTCGACGGGACGACGCTGATTTTGCCCCGGTTGCTCATTGTATATCGTATTCTCTCTTTTATCTTCCACTCGCCGCGTTTGTCTCGTTTGTTTTCTGTTTCTTTTACTAAATCATCGGGGCCGATCGGGGCTAGCCCCGAAATTATGACGACACAATGCCGACGTTTCTTACAACAACGTGTTGACATATTCACGCATTCCTTCTCGTTCGTTGGTTGCTTGAAGAGTTGATAGTTTCCTCGCCTTCGTTTTTGTCGCTTGTTTCGCTATTTGAATCAGTTAGAGATCTTTAGTCCATTTGCTTTCGATTTTCCACATTCCTTTTGAGCTCCTCACTTCCTTCCGGCTTCGCATTTCTTAGCCTTAGACCTCATAATGAATAAGGTTGATGCACTACTTCGCACTCCGTTTTCGCAGCTGCCGCTGGAACAAAAATTAGAGGTACAACGTCTTGGGCCTTATCAACCAAAAAATTGTTCACTGGAACAATCCCATGACGGAGGAAAGCGTCGGCGTACATTCTGCGCAGAAACTTGGTATAAAAAACACGAATGGTTGTGTTACAGCGAGGACAAAAATGCACTTTTTTGTTTTTATTGCCTACTTTTTGCTACCGCCCGTGACTCACGTTGGTGTAAATTTGGTTTTAGAGATCTTAAACATCTTTCCGAGCGTGCCAGGGATCATCAATCTTCTATGGAGCAACTGGACAATGCAGTAAAATACCGAACATTCGGAAATGTTAATATTGCAGCACAGTTGGATGAAGGACGCGCGGTTTCTATTCGTCGGCACAACCAAAACGTCGAGAAAAACCGCCATGTTCTCGGTCGATTGATAGATGTTTTGAAGTTCATTGGTTGTCACGAGCTGTCCCTCCGTGGGCACGATGGACGGGCTGGCTCTTCTAATAGAGGGGTATTTTTGGATATGGTGGAATACACCGCATCCCTAGATACAGTATTGAGAGATCATCTTGATGCCGCAACTGTTTCGAAAGGGACATCTAAGGATATCCAAAATGATTTGCTCGACTCAATGTATAAAATTTATTTACAACATTTGGCTCTGGAAATTGAGAATTGCCAGTTCCTTTCGATTCAGTCTGACGAGACAACTGACATCACGTGCGTTTCCCAACTGGCTGTGATTTTTCGGTTTGTGAAAGATGGTAAACCTACCGAGAGATTTCACAGCTTTGTACCAATCGTTGATCGCACGGCTTGCGGGATATCGGCTGTACTGAAAGAAGTGTTACAGCCTTACGACGCGAAGTCAAAATTGATATCTCAAACTTATGACGGCGCGGCAGTCATGAAAGGGTCCAAACATGGTGTTCAAGTTTATATAAAAGAAGATTTTCCTCATGCGCATTTTTTACATTGTTATGCACACCAATTTAACCTCGTTATTAAAAATATGTGTCTTGATACCCCTCTCGTCCGTATATTTTTTGCAAATGTTTCGGGGTTTTCTTCATTTTTTTCCGTTCCGCCGAAGCGCTCTGACCTCCTTCGCCAGATATGTAGCCGCCGTCTCCCAGCTTGTGCACCAACACGTTGGAACTTCCAATCACGCGTGGTGCAGGGCGTGTCCGAAATTAGGTCTGAGCTCATTGAGTGTTTCAATGGCATTCAGAGCTCTCCGGTTTGGGACGAACGCTCGGTGAGGGAGGCGGCAGGTCTAAAGCGTCTGCTAGAAGATGGTGAGTTTTCATTTTTTCTCACTTTTTTCTCCACAATATTCTATCACGTGGATGTATTATACGGCGCATTGCAGTCAAGGCTAATGGATGGAGCGTCTGTGCAGTCGTGTATTTCAGACTTCTGCGATGCTGTATCTCGTATCCGGGAAACAATAAAATACGACGACACATGGAGTGCTTCTTTACGCCGCGGGCAAACAACGCAGCGTTTGATTTTGTCTGCAAAGGAATGCTGTGACATTCTGGTGAATCAAATAGGCGATCGTCTGCGCACTAAACACCTTGCCGCGTTCTCTTTGATGAACCCCAAAAATTTTTCAAAATTTGCACGTCAATTTCCCATCAATTTGTTGGCTACTGTCTCCAAATTTTACCCCATGATAAACGTGGGTAAATTGGAAAATGAATTGCGATGTATATACACCAATCAAACTTTTTTGAACATCACATCAACTTGCGCGCTCTATGGGTTCCTCATAGATAACACTCTAGTAACTAACTAC